GGCAAGGCGAGTGTAAAAGCAGAGCAGGGCACAAACAGTTTGAAGAGGGTACTTCTGGCACTTCATATCAATGCGGCGAGGACCAGGTACTTTCGCTTGCCGCAAGCAGTACCTACCTACCTACCTCACACTCCATACCTCTGGAGTGTAAGGTAAGGTAAGGTGCCTTATGGAGGTAGGTACCTAGACACAGATCTGAACCTACCTACCTTAAGTATCTAGCAGTGTGCGAGTAAAGGTAGGTAGCCAGGTGCCTCCTACCTTACCTTCCCTCTTGACCCATCTCTCCCACTTACTTCCCATCATCCGCTTTGCGCCAGGCTTCGCTTCTTCGCCTTGTTTCCATTCCTTCTTATTCTGCCCGTCGCTTCCTGTCCTGCGCTTCGTCGTCTCGCTTCCTCCTTTCTCCCTCCTCTGCTCGTTTGCTGCATACATACCTACCTACACTACCTACCTACCCTCAAGTATTCTGCTCGTCCCAGTCAACCCGCGCAGGAAACCCGCTCTAAGCCTGTCTTATCCGCAGCGTCGCCACACCCACCCACCCACGTCTGCCTAGATACCCTACCGACCTTACCTTACCTTACCTCCCTACCTACCTTCCCTTACACATCGCCCGCTGTTGCCGCCACCAGCCGCCCCTCAGCGCCGTATCAATCGACAACTCTTCACTCATCTCCAATTGCGCCCTCGCCCCCCACAGGCCTACCGCTCTGCCATTGCTGAATCCATTAAAGTCAATGGATTTCCACCCTCTCGATCCATCGCACAAGTAATTGCATAGCATTACATTTCTTTCCCATTGCCGACTCACCACGTCAGCGACCGGTCGCAGTAAGGCGACAATCAAGCAGTCTCCAGCAGCGGACGTCATCATCCGTGCCCAGGCACCAATATCTAGCAACGACAACATCCCATTGACAACCTCAATTGCACCACAATCAATCCATCACTCAGTCACACCACTGTGAGGACGAGAGACGAAAGACGAAAGACTCGCTGCCAAATTCTCAATTGCGCCCTTCGTCACCAAGACACCACACTAATCTTTCTTGATTCGGCCGTCTTCCTTTCTCCGAAACCCAATCTCACCTCCGATATCTCCATCCTCGCTTCGCCACCCTCGACGACATATTATGGCTGACAAACCCACCAATTCCATATCTTCCCACTCTCCCGCCGCTTCCAACTCAGCTCGGATCATCCAAACCATTCCTTACAGCATGTCCAAATTGCAGCCATCGAAATTTGCGTCCATCAACCAGACAATGGATGCCAACTACGCCAATATCCCCTCTCAGCCTGCAGTGGCTCGGGACTCTTCCAAGAAGGTCTTCGACATCAGTAGCCTCATGTCGCCTCCCGAAGCTCAGCCTTACGATAGCTTTTCACAAGGTCAACAGCATGCCTCGTCAGCATCAGTCATTCACCGGAGCCATGGGTCGGCCAAACCTAGTATGCCCATGTCCCCTCCTGTCTCGCCGTACATCACAGATTCCGCAAATGCCCCTGCTCCCGATATTCCGGCGGGCATGTCAAAGGATCCTATCCTGTATCCTCGCGAGGAGACAGCATCGAGCCCAATCCAGCCGCCTCTGTTTCCCACGACCGAAGCGATCGAGCATCGCCGCATCGTCGACGAGCACATCGGCGCCCGTCCCCCGGGTCTCTTTCGCGAAGGTTCGCCTCCTCAACCAGAAGATTATGAGCTGCTTCTGCAATGCAAGTCTCAGGCAATCGAACTTTTCAGCAGGGACAGAAAAGCCTGGTTCGAAAAGGAACGCGATCAGGTCAGGGCCGACCGGAAACTGAACAGCGCCCGCTGGAATAGCGTCGTGAGATATCAGACCATTGCCCCCGCCAAGTCCGTACCTGCCAAGACGACGAAGCCGCTCTCTGCCAAACCAAAGATTACTTCCTCTGCAAACCCCAAGACCGATCGAGTTGTGAAACCTTCGCAGGCTCCTCGGCCCGTTCGCAACAGTCCTCCCACCCGGCATGTCCGTCGTATTAGTGCTACGCCGGACCCCACCCGCCGCGTTGTTGCTCCAAACAGAGAGGATCGCGATTTCGCAGCGTTGCCCGACTACTGCCCTCCGGTGTCTTCTCTGCCTGACAAGTCGAATTCTCTGAAGGTTGACTGGAAGGGCGCTCCCATAGATCTGAGCGACGATTCAAACATCAACCTCCTTCACCCGGACGAGGCAAGCCTGGCAGCCAATCTCCGGCTCGACTGCGCTACATATCTCACCAGCAAGCGTCGCATCTTTGTCCGCCGGCTGGAGTGTGCCAAGGTCGGAAAGGAATTCCGCAAGACCGACGCTCAGCAAGCTTGTAAGATCGACGTCAACAAGGCTTCGAAGCTTTGGACTGCGTTCGACAAAGTTGGCTGGTTGGACCTCAAGTGGATGAGCCAGTACATCTAAATATCTGCTCGATGCCTTTTCTCTTTCGATAGGTCATCCGGTATGACTGATCGGCCTCTTACTAGGCAATCATACCTGCCACCTTTGCCTTTGTTACGACGACGGCTTATGATGACATTGGTTTTTTCACGACTTCAGCCATATATCATGATACACAGGCTTTCACGATCAGGTTTTCAAGCACTGTTTTTACTCGAGTTTCGGATCATTGCATAAGCTGCTTCGGTTTTGGGATTGTCTGACGAATATCTTGAGGCAACGAGAAGCAGTTGGCCAGTTGCCCATTTCATACCCTTAGTCCATTAGGACGGGCGCATTTTACTCATATTTTTTACCCCGGGGTTTTTTTTTTTTTTTTTTGAAGGGTTTGTCTCACATCAGCATCATACCACGGACGCTGCCTCAACATATCAGAGCATTAGGGATTATTACCACGATACCCGGAGTGCGACGGAAATCTGATGACCCCAGTCATGTCACCCCCGCTCCACACACGATTTTCCTTTGTTGGTTTCTCGGTTTCGATTTTGCATTTGGGTCAATTGGACATCATACCCCTTTTTCCTGAAATTGTGACGGACAACATCGGTTCTTGGTCCGGCATACTTGGGTTTGGCAGTTCTATTGGGAGGGTTTATGGATGTATCCCGTAGACAGATTGTTTGCTTGGATGTTCGTTCTGTCATGAACACTGTTCAGTTCATAAGGATGATACAAACTGAGCCAGAGAAATTCACACATGACATGTACACGGAACGTAGAATGCTAGATGGTGATGCGTCGATGACGATGATGACTTTTTGTGCAGGTGGTGAAGGGGACACAGCAGGGAAACAAGCGATGGTTACAGAAGATGGAGAGAGGTCGCTGTTGTCAACGGAATGCATCCACCCTGGTTCAGCCCTACGAGAACAGAAGAAAAATTAAAAGAAAATGACCAAGTCCTTTTTTGGAAAGGGGGTGCCGTTGAGGGTGAACCCCTGCGCTGGGCGACGGGCTCTTAGCGGAGCACTCGGTTGGATTGATCGACGACGCTGGCGGGACGTTCGGATCGAGACCAACGCAAGTGTCAAAAGCCCTTTGGTTCGTAAGTACCTTGACTACTGCACCATCATGTCGGCGCGGCGGGGCCACCCCGGGAGACATCAAGAGCCGAAAGCTTAGGCGCAACCTTGGAACATTGGCGCCGTGGCTTAATGGGGAGGGTAAGGTGAGGTGAAGTGATGAATTAAATTCATGCTGGATGACTCCGAGGACATGATCGATGCCATTCATTGTTTCCAATCCAGACTGCCCAAGTGAGGCAGCGTAGCCAGCGGTATTTCATATCGGTGGGCGTGGCCTCGATATAGCGTCAATTCTACACTATCGTAGGGAGTTGAGAGTGAGAATGGTTTTACCGCGAGGGCATTCCCGTTCAGGATGCGACCTAAGCTCGTTCATCCCGAGTCACACGCAGGTAAGGAGATGGGATAGCCTTGTGGCAATAGCCGTTTCCCCCCCCTCCCTCTTCTTCCCCCCGAGCAAAGCCAACAGAAACAAACGCTGCCTGTCTTGGGAAATTTTCTGTGGCTGCAATGGCGCATAGGAAGGGGAGAGGCCAGTCGTTCGTTCGATGTTCGCACCTTGGCGAAGAAGAGGGAGGAGAAAAACTCGCACCTCCGTCAGTCCATTCCTTCCGCTGCGGGTGGCCCCTACCATCCCGGCGCCTCGTGCGCATGTACGTACGTACATAGTAGGTAGCATGAGGCAAGGACGCGGAAGGTTAGTAATGTGGGTATGGAGTCCAGGTAAGGTAAGGTAGACAGCGGGCAGCCGCGCCGAACGGATACCTGGTCTCCGGCCAACCTCAGGTACCCGTGCCTGAGGAAGCGTCGTCACCACGGGGGTGTGCAATTATTGTGTGGTTGTCCACGCCTGAGGTAAGGTAAGGTAGGTACATAGACACTTGGAAAAGACCATCATGGCCTGAGGCAAGAGAAATGCATCACAGATACGTCGATAAGCTATCGATAAGAGTTCAAGCATCCGCATCGACGTCGCATGCCGTCTGGCTTCCCAACTCACACCTATTACCCAACAGCGCTCGGACAAGTTCGTAGAACGTTCTTCATCAAGTCAAACACGGCGCAATGATTGTGGTACGACTGCACCTATACACACGTCCTACCGATTGAACACCTTGGAGATGAGTTGAACCATCTCTCTGGTTCTGATTCCCACTGTAGGCCTGGATCGATCGAGTTCAGCATGGCCCGCGGCGGTTGCTCATGCTCGTGAGGCAACGCGGGGTCTCCCTAGATCTCATTCATTCTGTATTCAAAGAGCCAAGGTCATTTCTCCGCCAAGAATATTCGTATACGAGGCCGCCAATGTTTACATTCCTAGTCCTAGTCGTGTTGCGCCTGTCTGCGCCTCTCTCTAATCACCGTCCGCTCGGCCTGCTGGTTCACCAGTCCCTCAAATCCAGAAGATCTTCCTCGGTCATAAGACTGGTAAGTCCTGATGCGACGTAACCTTCGCCAGACGATCGCACACTGTGGCTACTGAGCACGTTTGAGGCCATGCTCCCAGCTAGCTCTCTGCAGGGACCTCTGGGCCAAAGTCAGTCACAGATCAGAAACGGGGAGACGAGAGATTGCCATACCCATGACATCTTCTATCACAAAGCGCCCCATGGACAATTTCCCGTCGTCCACACGCCACGCCACAGCCCCCTTTACTTGCGAGCTTCTCCCACTCATCTGGTTTGCTGATGTGGATCTCTGTGCCATGCGCCTCACAGAAAATGGGAATGTATTCAGTTCGCCAACCGCCTATCTTGTCCAGGACCCCGCCCCAGATGTGTCGAGCTGATGATAGGGCGAGGTTCTTAGCATTTCCAAGCACCACGAGAAGGCGACGTGGTCGGCTGAGGGCGACGATGGCTCGCCGCAGGTCTTTCACAAAACCGGCATCCGGCTTTCTGCGGTCTTCGGGGCTGCGAGTGACCGAAATGAGTATCACTTCGTTCTCCTTGCCTTGATATCCATCCACCGTCTGTACTTCGGGGCCGGCCTGCTCGTAGCCATCCGTGCTTTGACGCCCAGGAAGCTGGCACTTCCGGCGAAGAGCATTCTCGATGTAAGTCTTTTGGCCACTGTAGAAGGTCAAGACAGTGATATCCGATGGCTTAGTCCCGTTGGACACCAGATGTTCGTAGAGCCCAACGACCATGCCGGCCTCGAACGTGTTGAATTTGCTGGCGTAGCGGTTGGCCGACTCAGGTTCCTGGTGGTCAAACCACAGTAAGCGTCGTGACCCCATCCCCGGGACCGCATCCTGGGCCCGAGTGCAATCGTGGTCGACCAGGAGCGGGTACCAGCCACTGAGAAGTCTGCGGATTTCCGGTGCCATTCGTCTTTGGATTTGAAGGCTTGAATACTCTACCCCCCCTTCTACCAGCCTCTGGAACAGAGACACATTGAGGTTGAAAGGAGGTTTACTGAGCTCTAACACGTCCGCATGAGGTGCGAGCTGCATGTGGTCGCCGACAAGTATTATCTGCTGCAAAGTTGGAAATAGTGCAGCGGTGATATTCGCCTCCCGGGTCTCTGCGGCTTCCTCAATCATCATGACCCGGGGCTGCATAGCTGCGATGAGACCACGGTACTTGGTGAGGCCAGTCGTGGTACATCCGATTATACGAGCCCCCGATTCTTTGATGGTTTCAATGTCTTCCTGCCATCTGACTACCTTCAATTCTCGGGTAATATCGTTGATCTTCTCAAATACTCTCGTCAGAGCCAATCGAGTGGAAGCAATGTAGCGTTGTTCCAGGTATTGATAGACCATTCCGCGATAATGGGTGGGAATATTCCAGAGACTGTCGTGGTTGGCCAGTAGTCTCCGGACAATAGCTTCGCTGTTGTTGTCGGCGCTCTTGGGAATCTTCATCGTATGCCAGTGAGATATCAATATGGGTTTCCCCGAGAGTTGTTCCTTTCTCACATTCGTGTAAAAGTTGTGCTCGCCCTCTTCGGAGCCAAGAACCCCCCCGGCACCGTTATCGGATATGAAGGGCACATGGATGCTCTGATGTGGCTTTATTGCGAGCGTCTCATTCCCTAGCCAAGGACCGAATGGATGGCGTGACACCTCGCCAGCAATGGTGTTCAGAGACCCAGTCCAATTAACCATGATGGAGGCACACTGTCGCAATGTGATCAAACCAACCACCTGTAGATGTTCAGGAAGTATGAGCTGCTGGCGAAAAGGAGGAAAACAACGCTGGAGAAGAATCTTGGCCTGGGACTTGAGAAAGTCAAGCCGTTTCTGAAACTGATCACTTCGCCGTGCTTTGTCTCGATGTATCGCCCTGAGATTGAACAAGGTACGCTGGAAAACCGCGTCATCTTTGGCCTGGCCACCAAGACGGATGAAGTTGACACCTTGCTTATGGCAGCGCGACAGCAGCTCATTGACAGTATCATTCTTTTGGGCGGTTATGATGATTGGGACATTGACCGGCTGTGTGCTGAGCAAAACCTTCAGTGCCGCCATGGATGTGTGTGTTTTGCCAGTCCCAGGGGGGCCTTGAATGATAGAGAGCTCCTTAGTGATCATGCTTTGTAGAGCCATGAGCTGCGATCCGTCAAGACCAGTCTTGTTCTCGATGTGCTCGGGTATTTCTCCTTGGGTGGGAATGTTAAGACGCTCAATGTTGGCATCGACACCATGGTAAAGTGATGAAATATCCAGCAAAGATCGGTCTCGAGACAAGCAGGCAGGTCTTTCAACAGGTTTTGCCCCCTTCGTCAGATACTTGTCAAATGGTGACCTAGACGCCGTTAACACTTTTCTTGACTATACCGTGGGCCATCTCGGAACTGACTCTTCTTTCGATGCCTGCTTCAGACCTTCCATGACATATCGAACCGCTTCAAAGTAATTGGAGCGGGCCTCGATCATGACATATTCTTGATCAGGCTCCATGATGCTTGCGGCAACTTCAGGATCGCGAATTTCCAAGTCCAGCGGAGGCGGCGTTTCTGGGCTGTCAATAGCCTCGTCATAGCGACCCGTCACAACAGCGACAATGCATCCTTTTTCGAAGTTGTCTGGGACAGGTGAGAGTGCCACGACCGTGCCGGGAACAAGTCGCTCAGATGCGGACCAGTTGACGAGCTGTCTAGTCCGCACGGCAGAAAATGTGACGCGCACCATGACCCCAAGACGAATGATGTTGGCGCCACGAACAAAAACCTGCAAAGTCACAAAAATTAACTTCCGTCGAGTCTGTGAAAGTACCCCCTTGCGTACCTGGGTGTAGATACAAGTTTCAGTGCTCTCGGCCATGTCGGGTGCTGACTTGTAGTTCTGGACGGCCCTGCGAAGCGGTTCAACCCCTTCGTGACGTAGAACACTGTACTGGAATCTAAGGTACTCATCCTTGCTTGAGGAAGCTGTGTTGAGACTGCTGGGACTTGGCGTCTTCCCAGTCGCCGTCGTCAGCTCCTCAGCCACAGGCAGCTCCGAAATACGGCGCCAGCCTGTTCCACCTTCGGGGTATACATGGGAGCGAATGATGGTTTCTAGCCTATCTGACTCGGTGGCTGGACCTGGCATCCCTCCAATACGTAAGTGAGCTATCAATCTATGAGCTGAGGCTGAGGGGACTGAGTCACACGCAAGAGAGTTCAACCGGGCTCAGCAGAAAAGCGTGGTTGAATTGTCTGTCAAGAAACAGACTGGGTAGATATAAGCAAAATTGTACTCAAGAAAGAAGCGGGTATGTTGAAACACCCCATTTCGGCCCTGGGGAAAGGGAAAGTGCATACAACCGTCAGCGTTTGCCTCATACCACGAGCAATCTTTCCACAGGTGTCTCCTGCCAAAGACTGCATGTCAGGTCAGTGATATTGAATATTGCGACAATTCGGTCATTTCGATGGCAACTGATTGCAACTAGCCCCGAGCTTGATTCATCAAAAACAGTAACGTTTGGCTGACAGGGGAATTTCTCCTTTGCAGGGAAAAACAGCCTGGACCAGTAGGATGTTGTTTGTGACAAACGAGAGAGCTACTGGCTGATCTCTCTTGAATTATGCAAATCTCCATGTCTGCCGCTCAAACGGCTCATGAACGGCTGGTTACAGCTGCAGGAAGCAAGCGCGGTTTGCCAACCGCACGAGATGGCGTGAAAGCGCCTTTGCGGCTGATGTCGCCGGCGCTCACCGATAACGTACCGGAGACTGGCGGTCCACTTGTGGCCCGGAGCACCGGTAGCGGTCCGCCCGTCTGCGGGTCAATGGGCGGCACCTTCACTGCGTGGCTGGGTACCCATCTCCACTCCCACTGTACGCTGCCCAGGGTCAGTGCATACCGCTCCCCCGCTAAGGTTTGCCCGGCGAGCTTGCTTTGCTCCAACCTACCTACTAGGTAAGGTAAGGGCACGTCGCGATTCACGCTTTCGCGACGATTCCATTGAACAACCCCGAACAACCTCAATCGTACCGCCACTACCTCACCATTTGCCGCCACGCACAGCCAGACAGCCCTGCCATACCAAGGCGCTTTCAGCTGTTCTATTGTTGTTGCTGAAACTCCGGACTCCGCAAACCATCACCGATCATTGCCCAGCGCGCAAGCAAGCTAACGTCGCGATCGATCCTGCATGCCACGCTGCAAGCCTTCCCCCCCGCCCAGGACTCGGTTTCGTAGGCTGACATCGCCCACCAATCTTGCAACATGGATGAGGATGACAGAGGTTAGTCTCTATGTATTCCTCGCCACCCGCTACTGCCCTAACTTGCCTTGGCGCATCAGATTCCAACGCGAGCTCCGAGAACGACCAAGATGAGGTCATGGAAGATGTAGACGACGCCGAGGGTGACATGGAACCCGAAGAGGAGGATAACGAAGACGACCAGGAAGAGGGCGATAGGGAAGAAACGGCCGACGATGCGCACGACAAAGGCGATGACGGAGCAACAGGGGACCCAAGACAAGCATCTAGGGCCAACTCAGCCGGTGCTCGAGCATCGCCAGAGGGAAAAGGCAAATCACCACAGCCCTCGTACTCGAGTCTTTTCCCTAGTGTCCGACCCGAAGCAGTCAATGCCAGACTCTACGATATCGTTCCCACCATGGCTGCCCCTCAGGCGACGAGCATCAATGCTATAGCCATCACCCCCGATCTTCGATACTGGATGACTGGGGGATCCGACGGGTACATTCGCAAATACGATGGACCGGGTACTATAAACGGCAAACAACTTCTCACAGTGGCGCAAAGGCACCCTTTTGTCGATAGTGTCGTCAAGGCGGGGATTTTGATGTCATACTGGGAGAATGAAGAGCCTGGGCCCCCAAATCCGAGAGGCAACGAAGAACATGTTCTATCCCCAGTCTACTCGTTGGCCGTACACTCCCAAGCATTGTGGCTCTTGTCCGGACTTGAATCCGGTGGCATTAACCTCCAGAGTGTACGCCATGACGAGGGAAAGCGCATAACGTGTCTTCAACAACACACTAATGCTGTGAGCGTTTTGTCACTCGCGCAGGACGAGAAGAGTGTGCTCAGTGGCAGTTGGGACAAAAACATTTTCGACTGGGATCTGAATGTCGGGACTGTGAAGCGTACTTTCGATGGCAGTGGAGGTCAGATATCTGCCATCGAACTACGACCGGTCAATGGAGCGCCGATTCCGGCGGACGCGATGGAAGATGACATTAAGCTCGACACAACTTTCAGCTCAAATAACGGAAAACCCGCAAAAAACAACCTAATTGGTGGCAGCGTAAACGGTGTAGATAGCCAGGCACCCGCTGTATCTGGTGAAGCCGATGAGGGACAGGCGTCTCCAGCGCATGAGTCGCTTTTTGGCGGCAGTGATACTGGGTCGTTATTCGGCGATAATGTCGGCGGGAACTACGGGGCGGATGATGATGATGAGTTCTCGAGGGCCATGGGCGACATGGGCATGCCGCCTCTGCATGACGGCTCAGGACAGGACGGAGGCATGGATCATTCCGCCGATATCGACATGACCAATGCCTTCAGTACTGATGCAACATCTGCCCCTGCAGTCCAGCCGTCAGGCACAGGTACCCCGGAGGCGTCGAGGCATCACGCCGCTTCCCAAGGTGCTGACACTAATGCATTGGACGGACAACCGACGCAAGATGTCACGAATGATATTGCTGCGCAGGCTGGTACGTCGAGCCTGGATGACGCAGCAGCAATTGACGCGCAGCTATCAGAACCCGCTCCGGGATCACCTTCCATGGTCTTTGTATCAGATCCGCCACCTCCACCTATGGATCCCACCCAATCTGCCGACACCGTCTTCTTCTCTGCAGCAATAGATGGTCCAATCCGACTGTGGGACCGGCGGGTTCAGGATCCCGTGGCAAGAATAGGTAATCAGCGCAGTGTTCCTCCTTGGTGCATGGGAGCATGCTGGAGCCCTGATGGTAACTGGATATACGCTGGCAGGCGTAATGGAACAGTGGAGGAATACAGCATACACAAGGCCAGAAGCGGTTGGGCGCCAGAGCGATCCCTGAAGTTTCCAGCTGGTAGTGGAGCTGTGAGCGCTGTGAGGATGATGCCAAACGGACGGCATTTGGTCTGGTAAGTGTTGTTGACTTACAAAGCTGTTGCAGGCGGCGGTTAAGCTAACTTGACCTAGTGCGTCTCATGACATTCTTCGCTTATATGATCTTAGAGACACGAGGGCATTCAAGCACTCGACTGTTCCCTTCTTGATTATCCCCGGACCTCCAAGGGCTGGTGTCATCTCGTCTCTCTACATCGATCGGACCTGCCGCTTTATGTTGACGGCCGCTGGGACCCGTGGTTGGGAGGGCACAAGCACGGAAGTGTTGATTGGCTATGAGATTGGAGTGACCGAAGAAAAATGATAGGTTGTCTAAGCCTCCTCAAACCAGAGGCGCTTGGAAACAAAGGTTCTCTCCTGACCTCGGCGGAGAGCACAGGCAAAGCGGTAAGAAGTATTTGTGAATATGGAGTTGAAAGGCGACGCAGGCGATTTGGGTCTAGAGGTCTAGAATCAATACCCTTAGTTATTCGAGTACTGAGATGCTTGTTAATGTACCGCGACAAGACACTGGAGTGCGCACGTCGAATCAAGCTCCTGCGTGCCTTACCTAGCCACTCGCCACCGACAGACCCAACCTGCCGGCTTCTCCAACATCCCACAGCGGTCTAGCGCCCTGTGGGCGCCTCCGCTGATAAGCGGAACACGGCATTGTGGTCTGATCGCCGAGAGATACGTTCCCCCTGTTAAGGTATTGGAGCTTTACCCCGGATTGGAGGCTTTGGACATGTGCTGGCCCCCGACTGTCTATCTTCACCACACCACCTACCCTGTTGACCAGGGGTTTCATCTATCGCCCTAGCCATATCGACCGCCTTCACCCTGCATTCCAACTCCAGCAACGATAGCAGCCAGCCATTCGGAGCACGCACCGGCGTTTGCCGGAGATGAGGGGGTTATTGATACCAGTGACCTCTACATTTGGCCGGACCTGATCCGGCGTCGACATCTCGGTTGATGCAAATAAGAACGAACATGTCTCCCCCGCATTGCCAGGTAGCGGCGTCGGCCGACGATGAGATTCAACCGCTTCTTTCACGGCCTGGTCATTCATCCCACAACCTCGATACCGCAATGGCATCCAAAGATGCTGAGACCTTCGTCTCAGGCTCGGGCTCGAAGCCAGGCGCCGCTGATGCCGAACTGGCTGAGGCCATTCGTCTGGAGCATAACCTAACTTTCTCCGAAGCTGTCAAGCTCTACCCGGCTGCCATTGGATGGTCAGCCTTCGTGTCTCTTGGTGTCATCATGCTCGCTTTCGACCCTCAGCTGCTGGGAAATCTCTACGCCACGCCTCAGTTTCAACGAGACTTTGGCTATGAGTATGAAGGTTCTGTAAGCTACCTGATCTGCCCACCAACATGAAAATTGCCACGCCAGCTAACGCCCTTAAGTATATTATCAGTACGCCGGCAGATGGTTTCGGGCAGATGTACCCCCACGTCGCTAACGTACATTATAGGTGCCGCATGGCAAACTGGGCTTTCCATGGGCAATCCCGTTGGTCAAGTTGTCGGTGCTCTCTTCGCGGCGTATCCCATGGACTGGTTTGGTCGAAAGCTGACCTTTGCTGCCTGTGTCGTTTTGACCGCGGCGATTGTCTTCATTCAATTCTTTGCCCGCTCACTTCCCGTTCTGCTTGTGGGGGAGCTTCTTGGTGGTTTGGTCCTGGGCATGTATGTTGTCATTGCCCCGGCCTATGCCTCAGAGGTTTGTCCCACCGCGCTACGTGGTCATCTGACATCTTACGTCAATCTTTGTTTCGTTGCCGGTCAACTTCTGGCAAACGGCGTAACAGCTGGCACCTCCAAGCTTGAGACTCATTGGGCATATTCTCTGCCCTTTGCACTCCAGTGGTTCTGGATCCTAGTCATCCTCCCTGGCCTACTCTTTGTACCGGAAAGCCCGTGGTGGCTGGTACGAAAAGAGAGATTGGACGAGGCAGAGAGAAGTCTCAGACGCTTGGCATCTAACAAAGTCAACGTCGCCGCAACATTGGCGTTCATTGTAGAGACCGACAGACTCGAGCAGGAGCTTGAGGCCGGAAGCACATATTGGGACTGTCTCAAGGGAGTGAATTTAAGACGAACAGAGATCTCTGTTGGCGCCTACTGCACCCAGGTCCTCAGTGGCATCTATCTCATTAACTATGGCACATACTTCTTTCAGCAGGCTGGATTGCCTACTGACAAAGCATTTGATATGGCCATTGGGTTTCTTGGTGAGTCGACCTTATCTTGGTGACTTGCAGATTCGGCATTAACACCATCCACGACAGCTGTTGGATTTGTCGGCACAGTGATCTCATGGTACTTCCTCATCCACTATGGTCGCAGGACTATCTACATCACGGGATTGGCTGCCTTGGTTGTCCTACAACTCATAATTGGCATTCTCGACTGCGTTCCAGGCCGACCCTCCGGTGTGATGTGGGCAGAGTCATCCCTCATGTTGATATGGAATTTTGCATATGATCTCTCAGTCGGACCGGTCTGTTTTGTGCTCATATCCGAGGCCTCTGCAACAAGAGTGCGATCCAAGACTATTGCTCTTGCAACCGCAGCTCAGGGTGTTCTGGGCATCATTATGACGGTGGCAATCCCGTACATGGTGAGCATTTCTTACCCCATCAGCCTCTAATCCAGGGCGCTGACTTGGATACGCGCTAGATCAACCCCGACGAGTTAAACATGCAGGGGAAGCTCGGGTTCTTTTTTGGGGGTCTGGCGGCTTTGTGCTTTTGCTGGGCATGGTTTCGAATTCCTGAGACCATGGGCCGTACGTACGAAGAGCTGGACATTCTCTTCGACAAGCGCGTGCCGGCCCGGGACTTCAAGGGTTATGTAGTAGAGGGTATGGCATCCCCTAGCGCTTAAATACTCGGTAGGCGTGTTGTTTCTTTCTTGGACGCAGGTTTCGAAGGACTAAGATGTGTCATAATACCCGAGACGAAACGATATTAGAATCTCGTATGACTGGGCGGCACTGGAATTCATTTTTCCTCCTTCCCGTGAAACTCTACGACCTTTTGATGTTACAAGGAGCTTATAGGGATGGGAACGAGTTGTGAACCCACTGCTACCTCCATCAGGATGGTCTTCAGTGCTTGCATCGTGCTCGTCACGATCTACCGCCCGCTTCATTCCCCAGTTCTTGATGCAAAGAGTTTAGTTTCCCTACGTACAACTAGCAGTGACATAATGGGCCCCTTTCTCCGTGCCATCCGATTCCTGGACATGGGATCGAGATTAACCGCTGCATGGTAGCTATGGAACCTCCAAGCAGTCCGAATGGTCGGGGATGTGTTCAGAGTCACAGTCTTCGATTCAGTAGCAACTGCGACGGATCAGGCGTCCCATGAGAGGGCCAACAATTCAGTTCCATCCTGCGTTGATGAAGACTCGTTGCCTCTGTCGGTATCTGTACGGGTCTCACCACGATGTGACAACATTGACCTGGATGTTTGTAATTTCGCGCCGCAAGGAATGCCAAACAACGGGTATTAGTATGAGTTTTGCTATTCGGGCAGTGTTATTTAGCTATCCAGGCAGTGTTCACACATACGTAAATCCGTAGCCTATTTCTAAAGCGACTATATTTTTATTCTCACTTTTATCGTTATAATTATCTATTACTATCGTCTATTATTATTATCGTCGTCGTCGTTAATCTCATACTGAAAGCCAGGATGCCACTCATTGTTGAACGCTTCGAAAGATCAGTCCAAGGGTCGAAGGATCCGTCCAGGGGAAATGCTGAAGGAAGTGCTTCGCTTGTCATAATAATCACACACCAGTTGTCTTGGCCACTTTCTTTTCCTTGGTCTCCGTAAACGTTGGCAACGGTCTATCTCATCTTACGAATTACAGCTTCTACTGAAGCGACAGCTCCGCCTTGAGGCCTCTCCCCATTATCCCCAGCTTGCGGTCTGTCCAGTGATTCAGATGGCAAAAACGAAGCGGGTCGCATGCTTGTATAGAGAGAGCACTATGCGTGTCTGCTTCCCATGCACGGTGACATTAGCCCTTGGCTGCATCGCCACCAATCGTTTAGCTCTCAGACACACCAACCCCGGCTTCTACGGATTGCACTGACACTTACCATGTGCATTGGGCCAGTACAAGCCAGTGATCATCGGCCCATGTGTGGTAAACGCGGCGTCACAAACCACCAGTCCCCGCATGCAAGGAAATCGGCGAGAAGTCCGGCGAGCAACAACGAAAGTCACCTCGGCCGACCATCTACCGAACTTGAGAGCCAGGTTCATTCCCCTCATCCCTACGATTTCCCCTCACCAACCAACCAACCCCCCCACGGGGTAAGGGAATCTTCCCGCGTACAAGAAGAGACACTGAGCCAAATTCCCTAGGGCGCATTCCTGTGTCATCGGTCGTCGCCTCTTGGTGTTCTGCTTTCTCTTGTCACTTGTGCAACCGAAAACACCCAAGTCATGGATGCAAAGAAGGCCAGTATTGAGCAGGATGAGAACCCGGCGCCCAACGCGTTGAAGCCCTCGGCTTCGAATCCGACTCCAGAAGAATGGGCGCAACATTTTACGACTCAGGATGAGGCCTGGCACAAAGACTATGACAAAAGATTGCTAGTCAAAGTTGACAGGAGGCTCATGCCCACGTTAGTTATGAGTACGAGAAAAAGCTTCCAAACAATGTTCATGGCTAACCACGAAAACAGTGTATCTACTCAATTTCCTCGATCGATCCAATCTCGCCCAAGCTCGGCAAGGCACCCTGGAAGCGGACTTGGGCATGTCCGGGACCGATTTCAACTTGGCAACCTCCATCTTCTTCGTCGGTTATTTGCTGATGCAGCTACCATCAAATCTGCTTCTCACCCGAGTGCGCCCGTCTTTCTATCTCGCATCATCATGCTGTCTTTGGGGTGTTGTATCGACCTGTAATGCTGGGGCGAAGACCTTTACGCACCTCGTGGTGATTCGTTTTGTAAGCCCACCCGACTTTCGCATTGCCAGCCTCATACCAGAACGGCAGCCGGTAGGGTTTCGCGAACGTCGCAACTGACGCGTCAATAGTTTCTCGGATTTGTCGAGGCCCCATTCTTTCCCGGTCAGTTTGGGTCCTGGTGATATTCAGTAACTCGTAGCTGACTTGTCCTTCCAGGTGCCGTGTTTCTCATGAGTTCATGGTACACCCGCGCCGAGCTCACCCGTAGAATTGCATATCTTTATGCTGGCAACGCACTGGCGAACATGTATGCAAACCGACATGTCATTCTATGATCGATGCTAGCTGACGCTTTTCAGGTTTGGTGGACTGCTTGGTGCAGCTATTCTAGGCAATTTGGAAGGAGATTTGGGACACGCGGGTTGGAGATGGTTGTTCATCATTGTAAGGCTCTCCCACTCGATCTTTTTGGCGGTAGAAATTGACCGTCATCTTAAACAGGAGGGTGTAGTAGCCATTGCTTTTGCCCTAGTGGCCATGTGGATCCTCCCAGACTATCCTCACACGACCAAGTGGCTGTCCGAAGAAGAACGCGCCTATGCCGCCTGGCGCCTCATCGAAGACATCCAAGAAGCCGACACCTATCACGAACAGAGCATGTGGGGAGGTGTAAAGATGGCCGTACGCGACTACCGCCTCTATATATTTATTTTGATGCAGCACCTATCTCTGGTCACCCAGACTTTTCAATACTTCTTTCCAACGATTGTCGGTACCTTGGGCTACGGCAAGATCAATACCCTCTGGCTAACTGCTCCTTGCTGGGTGAGTCGACGATGCAGCCACCGGGAATCCACCGCATGCCATTTGACCACATGCTCATCGTCTCATAGGCTGCTACTTTCCTCATTTCCGTCTGCGTAACCTACTCTTCGTCAAAAACAAGAGACAGATCACTTCACATATTCTGCCTCACTCTTTTATCTGGAGTTGGAAACGCCATAGCGACTGGATCGAGTGTTGTTGGAGTCCGTTACTTTGCCATGTTTCTCATGCCTATGGGCGCTATTTCCGCATGTGAGCTCCATCAGCACATTGCTTAAAGATAGAATAAGCTACTCACGCCAGATGCAGACCAAATCATTGTATCGTGGGTCGCCAACTCATTCCCTCGACCGCTCGTCAAGCGATCAGCTTGCATCGCCATCGCGAACATGATAGGTTGGTAGCTCTGCGCATGCGATTGGGATGAAGCTCACGTTGCTCTTAGGAAACACCGCCACTATCTATGGTAGTTATATGGTTCGTGCTGTCAATATGAATGACCAATCCATATCAAGGAGCTGACTTGTCCTAGTACCCGAGCAGCACAGGTCCGCAGTATGTTCCGGGAGGCAGTACTAATGCTGTTCTCTGTCTGATGGTTGGTCTGCTTGCACTGGTGCTTCGATACTTGCACAAATGGGAAAACACAAAGCTAGAGAAGGCGGAGTTGGAGGCGGCGGCCGCGGCAGAGGGAGGGGAGAAGATGGCCGTTGATTTGACCCAAGAGAAGAGAGCAGCTGGCTTCAGGTATATCTACTGAGCTGGAAGAGTCACCACACCACAACACCCGCCGCTTGAGGTTGCGTCGGAGATACCCATGATGCCCGAATGCATGCGCTTGGTGCCCCTACTAATGTTGGAGAACTATCATCACAGTTATATTTACTATGGTGGGAAGACATTTGCAACTCTATCAGACATATTCTACGCTATTTACCAAAAAGTCCTGTGCCTGGGTCAAGAATTTGAAGCACTTCGTCTGAGCGTAGCTACTCGTACAAGCAACGTATTGATTGATCTTATGATCTCAGTTCAATTGTTATTACATTTGAGGCTTAAGTCTTGTCTATTGATTCAACTTGAAAACGCCGAATCCAAGCAGTCAAGCGCCGTTGCTAACTGCTCTTTAGCACCAGGAAAAAAGGGGAACCATTTATCCAAGAGATCGCCTAATTTTCCTGTGTCTGCGCGGCTATATTTCCTATACACTTGACTATTACTATCGAAAGCGATAGTAGCGACAGCGACGAGGAGGACAAGGACGAGGACGAGAACGACTATAACGACGATAACAATAGAAGAAGCGACGACGACGACGACGACGATATCGACGGTAGTGGAGTAATTAGAGTACCTATAGCCACAGGAAAAGTAGTCGCTCTAGCACAGGAAAAATAGGCGGTCTCTTATCCAATGCCGACGAGTGAACATGACGGACGCGAAGTCGCCACTCCAGCTACGGAGAAGCTGCACCATGCGCTATGACAGCTGCCACGCGACTTCACTGTCTCGTAGCCGGGAAACCCAACCTCTCGGCATTCCAACGAGTCTGTAAGGACACCAGGGCTCTTCAGCATCGTCTTGTCCCAACCATCGAGTGAGCGAATAGGAGTTCCGAGAGGTCAACGGGGCAGCACTAGTGTCAAGTCGATCTCGATACACAGAATCTGCCGTAGCGGAATCCTGTACCACTGTTTGAGGCATGTCGCTATCACAGTGATGAGCAAGCTGCCCATTGAAGGAGGAGAAAGAACCCGCAGCAAAATATTCGGGCCGATGTTCTCAGCGTCCACTCCGCCACCAAATCGATGGGCTCCTAAGAGAAACACACACCCCAGGCTTGATTCCACGGTGCGCCGTGGTCCGCAGTATTTTGGGCACAAAATGATGCCTTTGTGTGTGGCTGAATGAGCCGGTAGGAAGGTAGGTTGGAGGACCTCGCACGCGTAAAGAGTCAAGGCAGGGGCTGGCCGGAGATGAAGTCGTCCTAGAAGACGAAAGGGCTCAGCCTGACCACATGAGAACATCTGGCTTGTCGACGGGGATGTGGCATCTTAAGTAGACTTTTGATGATGTGATAACGTCCACCGACCTGCATATGCCTACCTGGCGCCGTGCTGCTTTCCGAACCTCCCCTGTCTGACTTGTTGTTCACAAACCAGCTTTTGTTTAGTTCTCGCAGGTCGTGCAGGTTGTGCAACCGTAGAGGACATGCAAGCCAGACGCCGCGCTTTTCGAGAAGGACCGGGGGCCCATTTCTCATGGTTTGGCACAGAGTCCACATCTTCGCGCGTCGCTCCAACCGACATAGCAAAACCTCGACCTGTTTGATGCGATATGTAGGCGACTTAGGCAGGTATCCGTTCGCGATGTATTATTGCTCCAATCCAAGGAACCGTTGGAGCCCCGTCGAGGATAGCTGCAGTGGCCGGCTTATCCTAGTTATTCGCTTTGTCGCGTCGCTGAGCCCTCTTTCTGCATTGTGCCGGATAGTTCATTTTGAAGAAGCGCCCCTGCCACTGAGAAGTAGTACGCACGAAAGTGGTAAGGCGATGGAACGATGTTTTGGCTTTAATCTATCGATCACATTTTGACATTTGACCATCAACCATAATGGAACACACCTCTCTCGTGAGCGCCTCCGCCTCTTTTTGGCCGACCCATAGCCATTCGTATTCCTATCCTATGCCGTGTCCGCCCTTTTTGCCCTTGTCCACGGCCCAAAGAAATGATGAACCCAAAAACTTTCGAGACTGGTCTCTCCCACAAGGTGATTACCATTATATACTATATTGATCGGCCGGCGGACTCGCTAGCAACAACTCATGTGACATTGTACAAAAGAAATGACTTTTTTCTGTTTCGCGGGAATGAATGTGATCATGGCCCCACAGGGGCGTTGTAATATTGTACAGGCACCAGCGGCCATTCTGTTGGCATCGGCGTTGGTGCTGGTGCGTTTTCGTCGACAACTGTGCTGGAGAAGCTCTCCCAGTCCTCAAACACGATGCCGTCGGGGATATACTGAAAGTTCATGGGCTGTGCCTCTTGAGGCGGTGGCGGCAGCTCTCTGTCGAGTGACGCCCGGTGAAGAGGTTCTGGTGTAGTGCGCTGCTGAGGGGTGTGGAACAACGGCGCCGGCATCATCGACTGCGCTCTCATGTGATCCATAAAAGGCCCCGGTGAGGAGTCTTGCGACGACAAGACCGGGGGCTGAGGAGATTGCGTCGGCAGGGTCTGCGAGGGTATCGAAGGAGGCGGCAGCAAGGGCTGAGGAGGATATTGCTGAGGCATAGCAGTAGGAGCAGGGGCGTAGCATTGCGAGTATTGCATAGGCGGCGATGCCGGCACGGGGAGGAAGACAAGGTCCGCAAGCTTGTACGCGATTGAGACAATCGATTCCGCCTCAGAGCTGGAACCAGAAAAGAACTCGAGCAGATCCTGAAGTTGGCCGGGACTTTCGTTCTCCATAAAGCCTTGAGCACGGCCAGTCTGTGTGGGGTTCCAGCTGAAGTTGGGTTGGCGTCCATTGAATTCGTTCGCCTTTGACATGAGGATGTCCTTCCAAGCCTCGTGAATCAATGGCTGATGAAGAAGGCCGTAGATAACTCTGGAATGCATCCAATCGGACTTTGTCTTTCCCGACTCAAAATGTCTTGCAACGTGCTCGACGTGGCGTTCACGTGAGGGATGAAGGGCGGAACAGAAGCCACAGGCCCAGTACTTTCTCCTCTTCAGATATTTGACAACCTTTTCGGAGTGGGGGCATGTCTTGCAGCCATGAGACGCCTTGTGGTGTTGGTTGAAGGTGTTGGCTCCCCAGAAGCTCCTGTTGCAGCCAGGCTCAGGGCATGGGTACTTCTTCCAACGCTCGTGGAACTCCTCCTCATGACGCTTCCAGTCGTACTTGCGCTTGAACCTTGTTTCGCAGGATGTGCACCAGTAGAAGTTGAATCGGCCGGGACCCCATCCCGTCTGGGCGCTCGCTACTTGAGGAAGGCCGCCAGGAACAGCCTGGGGTGCGGATTGCTGGCATGTTGAAGGGCTTTGAGAAGACTGAGAGTAATTGGTAGCGATGGTAGCGTTCGAATTGGCGGAGCCCATTGACCAAATGCTGGCGTGCCCGGAGGATCCTGAACTCGTCGATGAAACCGAGATGCGCGGTCGGTGACCAATTTGGCCATGGCAAATCGCTGGGGACACAGGAAGGAAGTTAGTCGGATGATCTCTTCTCCAGGTTTGGAGAGGCAATAGAATCAAACCTCGTGTGGAAGCGTCTTCCATGGGTGCATCTTGTTGGGGAACCATCTGCTGTTGCTGTTGCTGCTGCTGTTGTTGCTGCTGTGCTGCCCTATCATCGGCCTCCCACATTTGCATCAAAAGATCGCGCGAAAGCCCCGAATTCTTCAAGGCCTCAAGCGTCCGTCGGGCATCGGCCAGCACGTCGGCTGGAGCATCTTGCATAGGATGATCCATCTGGGCGTTATCCACTTTCCCCTTTCACTTGGCGAAGACGAATTGGCGTTGGTGTTGGCTTTTCCCAGACGACTTTGTTGGGCCAGGGCGCGTCGAGGTAGCGACAGTGTGTTGAATGATATGAGCTGATGAACGAAGTATGGCGATAGATGATCGGACGATGTGCCGCAAGGGCTGATCGGAGGTGTGTACTGGCGACGGAATCAACAGAAAAGATATCGTACAAGCAGAACGTTGAGTCGCGAGTCGACAAGACGAAATCAAGTGGATGGGAAACGGGTGTCGGCTCGAAGGCGTCGCGAGCGTAGATATAATGGGAAACGAGCGTGGAGGGTTTGGATGGTATTAAGGGCGACGGGAAGTAGAGGTCGGGTCGAGTGTGAGGTAGTCGTAGATAGAAGAAGAGGTAGAAGTAAAGAGGCAGAGAGGTAGGTGCGGTGTGGAGCGGAGCGAGGCCAGGTTAAGATGGAAACAGACTGGCGGTGGCGTGTGGTGTACGGTGTATGGTGTGGGAGGAGGTGTGTGAGGTGTGAGGTGTGAGGTGTTGGTAGTCGAGTACTCGGCGGGAAGCGAGCGTGTGCTTTGAATCAAAGCCAGCGGAAGCTTGGGCAAAGTTAGTCAGGAACCTAGCGTGGAGAGGGAACGACTAGGGACTAGAAGACTAGGTTGGAGGCTAGGAGGCGCGACGAGGTCTGAGATGGGAGGGTAGGGGCCTTACAGCAGTGTCCGATGGATCCCTGCACAAACGACCTGTTAGCGCGCTTCTCGTTCCCGGCCGACGTCGAGACGTTGGGCAGATTTCGGAGGAGGAGCAGGGCGGGCAGGTAAGGTAAGGTATGGTACAAGGCCTTAGGTAGGTAGGGTAGGGGCAAGACAAGGTAGGCGAGGTATTTTGTACAGAAAGGAGGGGGCAGAGGAGGACAGCTAATGTAGATGGGAAAGGCCCGGGCGGAGAATGATGGCCGGCGAGAAGAGGAGTGGGAAAGAAAAAGAGAAAGAAGGGGGGGAGAGAGAGAGAGAGAGAGAGAGAAAGTGAGAGAGAGAGAGACGGTGACAGGCATGTGTGTGTGTGTGTGCTGGGTATCCGTAGGTAGATAGATAGGTACGGATAGGTAGGCAGGTAATAATTGTATGTATGTGTATCCGTACAGCATGTGCGTATGTGCATGTGCGGTCCCCTTCCCCCCTACCGTATGTCTGTGAAGCGGCTGCTGCTGCATATGCAGGCCGACAGATATTGCACTTGTCAATTCCGTCCGATGTTTGGGGGAGACAGGAGCCAGGAGGGAGGTGATCTCCCACCCCTGCCATTTGAGCCCGGGCAAGGGCCTGCCTGCCTGCCTGCCTGCCTGGGGTGCGAGGGTCTGGGATCTGGCGAAAAAGAGACGAACGATGCTGCACACGCAGAGGCAAGTGGCAATGGCAGGAGCCGAGGTACAATATACAGCAAGGTACAGATATAGAAAAGGACTAAGTAACCCTAATAGATATAACCTAAGGTGTGAACACAGAAGTACTATACTTAGTACTAGAAAATATAGAGGTCTCGAGAGAGATAAAGACGAGGTAAACAAAGTATAATAACTTTTTCTTTATAGTAGCTTTAGTTACTAAAATTATAAGAACTTTATTTTATATAAAGAAAGTAGTAGTAAAATAAGTAGCTAGTACTCTATATCTATTAAATAATATAATAGTAAACTAATAACTTAATAACTTTAATAATAACTTTAACTTAGAAAGCGCTATATATACTAACTTTTAAGTAACTACTTAAGGTATATAAAAGCTCTAGTTAAGAGGAGTATAAAGGTTTTTTATAAATACTACTAAGTTTAGTACTAAAAATACTATTACTATATTTATCTTTAATACTTATTTTTAGAAGTAAGCTAAACTATAGTTAATAGACTTATAGATTTAAGTTCTAGACTAGGTTTATAGGAAGTATTAATAGGGGGTAATAGATCAGATAAAGCAAGATCTTATCACAGCTCTCTAGGGTAATAAATATACTACTTATAGAGCCGCTCTACTAAGAGCCTTATTAATCGCTCAGATCGCGTAAGAAGGGCAGGATGATCACAGAGTTAAGGGATAAAGCAGTATACCAAGACCAATACAAGAGAAATTCAAACTAATAACAGGCCACTCACACCCCAGGGTGGGGGGAGGGTGGTCAGCCAACAGCAGAGCAGGTCCGCAGCGCAGCCCTTGACCTGGACCTGGACCTGGACGGGGACCTGGACGGGGACCTGGACGGGCAAGCAAGGAAGCCGTTCAGCGATCCCCAGGAAGATCGGGCTAGAAGATTTTTTCTTCTTTCTCCTCGTCTTCTCCGACCGGGCCTGCTGGTCGTTTCTCGTTTCTTGCGCGTCCCTCGGTCCTGTACTCTGTGTCCGTAATTCCCCTCCAGTCACGCGTAAGGATACCGCTAGCATGCAGACGAGGGGTGTTTCACTCTTCTGGGAGATGTGCCTGGTTGGAACGCTGCACAACGGCATGAGGGGGGTGGAAAAGGTAAAGAAGGGTATCCTGCGTATCCGACAACCTGCCTGCTGGACAGACAGAAAGACAGAGCGACGGAGAGAGCGAGAGAGAGCTGTGGATGGCCTGTGGGAAATGCAAATGGCAAACGGGAAGCATGGGGAACAACCGGGGGGTGGGGGGGGTGGGGGGCGTGTTTGAAGGTAACAGGAGCAAGGAGCAGGGACGATCCCGCGATGAAACGAACCTTTCAGCGCGTCATCGTTCGGTTACGGGAGACGATCTTCTCACGAGTGGTGCGCTCCGCGTCCGTGGGAACAGACCACAAGGAGCTATCTTGGGCGATTTGGCTGCCGATGGGTTTGAAAATATCAAGAAATCGCGAGGCAAGGTCGCGGGTAGAGTAAAGTAAAGTAAAGTAAAGTAAAGTAAAGTAAAGTAGCGTGGCGGCAGCGGCAGCGGCAGTGGATGCGTATGCGTGGGATGCGGCTGTTGAGACGAGCCCTTCTTTTCGCACTTGGTCCCAATTCGGGACAGCTCGGTTTTTTCGGGAGCTGGGATGAGAGATGGGATGGGACGTCAATCAAGGCACCAAGGAATTATTCGTACTTGTGCGCCGACCGACCGAGGGGGCGTTTAGTTAAGCTCAAGCGGCTTCAATGGGATGAACAAACGAACGATCGATGCGGCGAAGGTTGGCAGAAGCCAAAAAGAAAGAAAAGATCAGATGGGGGAAGGGGAAGAAGAGCACAGAGTCAAGGGGAGGGGGGGAGGAAAAAAAAGAAGAAGAAAAAGGCGGGTAACGAAGCAGAAGGGTCAATGGTTTGGAAGCTTCAGCCTCGCTAGGATCAGGGGTACAGTCCAGGTACGAGGGCAAATGGCAGTTGGAGCAGTTGGAGCAGTGCAGCTCAGCGCAGCTCAGCGCAGCCCAGCACAGCTCACCTCAGCTTCGCAACCTAAAGTACAGTGGTTGGAAGCGTCGGCGTGAGCGTAAACGTGGGTGTGGGTAGAAGGTTCAAGGCAAGATGCAGATGCAGATACTGGTAAAGTGTGGGTGCGCGCGCGCGAGCGGGCGGGCGGGTGTGAGTGATGTGATGAGATGGGACAAGTCAAGTGGATGATGGGATGAGACGCGGGTGCGATGGGATGGGATGGACTGCAGTGGGAGAAACGCCGAACGAGTACCTACTGCATACCTACCTATCTACGGGGGAACGGACGGGAGCGAGAGAAAAGGCGACGGGAAGGAAACAATGGGCAGGCAGCTAGACAATGACCGCACACTCCACGCCCGGGTCCAATCGATGGCGAATGGGGGGCTGGTGCTTGACTGATTGATTGATTGATTGACTGAATGCTTGCTTGCTTGAATAATACCTTGGCTTGGGGAATCAATGAAGCATGCGAAAAATACACACACACACAACCAAAGCATAGCAAGCATAGCACAGCACGTATAAAGTCGTACAAAACCAGCAGAGCATCAGGCACGGATAGGCAACATCACATCAACTGGACCCGTTTAGCAGTTGTGAACCTTGCCTTATGTACAATATCCCGTTCGCTATACGTACTAGGTAGTGCGCCGGCAGCCACGCCAGAGGGAGGCGCTAGGAAGCAAGCGAAAGCAAGCGAGAGTGAAAATAGGAAAGGGTCGAAGGGAAGAGGGGGAGGGAAACGTGCGGGAACGGCGCGTGGCACACACACGCACACACACACACATACCATACCTAGTATCCGTACACGCTTCAGACCTCTTGTTCAAATTCACACACAACTCATTTCAACTGACCGACTGATGCGAGAGATACCTTACCTACCTTAGGCCAGGTACCTTACCTTACCACAACCCCGCTTCTTTTTCGGAGCTAAGCCGAGAGGGGGAGCACAGAGGGAGCGTGCACCACCGCGCTAGCACCAGCTAAGGTCAACATCGGTTTGAGGGTCCTCCCATCTTTCACTTTTTTCCATGCCATGCGGTGCGGTTGGTGATAAGATGGCAGGCCTTCTCGTTTGTTCCGTTTGCCGAACGAGACCCGCTCGACATAGCAACGGTGCAGGCTCACAGCCAGCTCGAGGCACGAGGCGCAGCCCATCTTCACAGCGCAGCCATACGAGAAGTTGAAGAGAACTCGTCGATTCCTGGTTTGCAATATCTTACCACGGCTTCAAGTAAAAAGGCAGAATCAAAAGACTCTTGGGGAAACTGCTCACTGGTTCATGACTGCCTCGTTGTGATTGGCCGAGACAACACCTGAAACAAATTCAGGACCGTTCACCGACACGCCACGGGCGGCCCAGCGTTTCGAAACATGAATACTGCATAGTAGAGAGAAACACTGCCAGGAACCCCCGACGACGACGACGACACCACCACCATCGCCATCGCCATCGCCATCCACCTCAGTGCGTCATTCCAACGGCGGCAGAGTACCTTGCCTCACTTTATCAACCTTACAGCACCTATGCGTTCAGTCCAGCACAGTGACAGCCCCCAAAGCGTCCCATATAGCTGCACTGCCACTGTAGCCTAGCTGACGGGTGCAATCCAATGGTGTTCGTAGAGGGCCAGAGCCCGTTGCAGGGGTCATGGCAGGGGACTCCTGGTGGTTTTCGGAGCCCTTGAAATGATTTGCCTGGGGAGCTATTCCATACACCAACCTAGCTACAAGGGGGCTACAGCAGGGGTCTATTACCGGTTTTGGCCAGCTTTAATAACGTGATGGGGCGAGAATAGGAAGGATGAGGGGAAACAATTAGCGGGAAGCTGTCCGTTGATTGGCCAAAGCAGATACAAGTGGGCACAGCACGGCCCTTCCTTTTTTTCCTCCTCCCCCTACACTAGGCTCCTTCTTGTGCCCCCATCCTCGCACACTCTCTATGGCCTCTGCTTTTTGTTCACATTCTTCTCTGATCCGTGGCCTCTTGCCAGCTGGCTGAATCCTCACTTCCTATTGATCCTCACGCAGGTATCAATATCTCCGCCCGTACTGTAATAATGGTCCTTTCTTCCTCAGTACCTGGCGTCGATGCTGCTTGCCATTCTTTGATTAAATTTCCCAAGGCAAACCCGACCTACCCTTACCGATACCGTGACCGTGGTTGCGTGGGGCTCCATATCCCCCCCCTCTCATCATAAGTAAACTCGCGAGTCGGGGTGAGTGCTGCATGGGTTCGTTTATTTCATACGTCTGGTGTCCTTCTTGCACAGCACAAGTTCTGCTTCATATCACGTCAAATATGCCAGACTCTGGTCCGATCCACTAAACATGCATACATTGTGCCAAGGTGACTTACATCGGACGCACGATGATACTTGGCTAGCGGCGCGCGTCTCCAAGGTTTTCTCTTGGCGCGAACGCAGACGACGCACAAGGGCGTCAGATCGTGACTTCGGCGAAGGCGTGAGGCCCTGAGGGTCGGCATCGACGGGTCCTGTTGACGCCGCCTTCTAGGGCCGGCTGTCGCCATCGCTTCGTCTCGTCTTTTTTTGGACTTGCAACTTCCACCCTCTCAGCCATCCTCCCTCCATGGAGTAGTCTGCTTGCCCGAGTAACCAACTTGAAAAAAAAAAAAAAAAAAAAAAAAAAAAAAAAAAAAAAAAGCAGCTATGGGGGCCACTCTATATGAAGCACGCATCAAAACTTGAGCACGGCCAAAGGCGATGTGGAATCTGGGAGCTAGAGGACAAGAAACCCCCAACCTGTCGAGTCAAACGTGCCAACGAGCCAACCAGTCTCGAATTAGAATCAATGTGACAAGCCGCAGAACAGAACAGACCTCTATCCGATTTTCCAACTTCGTGATCACTCATCCGTATCAATCTGAATCTCGAGTTGACTCTGGCCTAACCGCAAATTGCAGCCGCTGGAACCCTGAACCCTCCTCTTTGCCTCTTTGGGGCTACCCTGACACTCGGGTGAAAAAAAACAGCGCCGCTTTTGCTAGCACTACCACTACACTATCAATACCATTAATTTAGAAACTAGTTATCTTACCTCCTAGTATAATTACATATTTAAGACGTTTTAGTATTAATTCAATCTATTTATTAATAATATCCTAATCTAAATTATACTAAGCTATCTCTATAAGCTTTTTTAAGTATTCTTTATCTTAGTAAAGTATATTATAAATATATTACTTTAGGATAAACTATATATTCTTAATAAGTAAAAAATTAAAGCTTTTTAGGTAGTTAAACTAATAATTAAAGCTATTATAATCCTTTTAAGTCCTTATTTTATTATTTTTACTTAGTTTATAGTTTAAGTTATTATCCTTTTTAAGAGTAAAGTATTTACTTTTATTATAAACTTCTTAAAACTATAGTTTAATATAAAGTTTAAATATAGTATTAATATAAACTTATTAGCTTATCTTTTTATTATAATTTATAGGTATATTATATTATATTAGATTACTTTTAAATTTATAGCTAATTACCCCTTAGTAGTAAATAGTTTTCCTATTATTATTATTAAACTTCTAGTATTCCTAGAGATTAGGAGGGTTATTATATATATTAAGCTTATAAGTAATATAAACTAAACGTTTATTAGTAAAGTTAAAGTAATACTTATTACTAAATACTTAGTTATATTAATACTAAAGCTTAAGCTATAATTATAAAGCTTTTTTAGTATACTTAAGGTACTTCTTAGTAATATCTTTATTAATATAAATAACTTACTTTATAATATATTTATTAATATATTAATACTTAAGTAACTTTTAAATTATATATAGGGTAGTATCTAGAATACTTACTTCTAAGAGTAATACCTCCTATAGTAAGCATTTAGCTTTAAAACTTTCTATATTATATAAAGCTTTAACTATATTAAAATTAGTATTATTATAGTAGTATTTATAGCTATACGTTTTAGGTAAGTTAGGATTATAATAATATATATAATTAAAGCTTTTATAATTAGCTAGTATTTTATAACCCTACTTCTTTAATACTAAAAAATATAAAAAAAGCTCTTTTTTTTTATACTTAATTCCCTTAGCTTTAAGGAAGTTATGAGCGCTTTATAAACACGCTTTTTTTAGCGTATTAAAAGCCTTATAGCTTATTATAGTAGTAGTAGTAGCGCTGTAGTGGTGTGGATAGTGGTGGAGGGTGGTGGTGGTAATAGGTAAAAGCGGCGCTGTTTTTTTTCACCCGAGTGCCTGATAACGTCGCCTCCGCCCTCTTGTGTCATGTCATGCCGTGACAATCACAATCGCAAATGGAGCTGCTCAAGCACGATCCGCACCGTCGTTGGCACGCTAGTGTCGTCGCCGAGCTGATCCATTGGTATCCGTAGAAGAGCAGCACTTTTGAACCGTCGCTTGCGGGCCCCTGAGGCCTCAAGGGCCTCGAGGATCGTCAGTTTATCCTGTTGGTCCATCCGTAAGCTATGGACATGCCACAATCGACGTCTTACCGCGTGTATGCTTCTCCCTCCTGCTTGTGCAGTGCCAGTGCAGTCAGGTACCATGTTGTCGTGCTTCCGCCTGTCAGGTGCTGGTGTAAAGTGCAAGCATCTGAACCCTGGCGCATGCAGGTTGGGCGTCATAGGTATTCGACGACAACCGCCTCGCATGGCCCGCGACGCTCAGCACGGTCAGCGGTTTGCGATCGACGGTCCAGCATCTACGGACTGATACGACGGCATCTCGGGACCGGTCAACGCAGCGCAAAGATGCGGAGTAAGGTAAGCATCGTGTACGTGCATGTTGCGCATCTTGCGTACGCACGTATCGGCCCCGCCTCCTCCAGCTAAAGATGGGTAGGACATGATGATTTGCCCAAGTCTCACGTTGAGCTAAGCTCCCCCCAGGGCCGTATAGGGGGGGCCGTGGAAGTTGAAAGCATCGAGTGATGCACGAGTGATGCACAGACGAACAGTGGCAACACCATGGTGCAAACAACGCCGAGCAAGAACCGCCGGGTAATTGGCTTTGCATGTGCAGGTGCAAATGCATGGTTGAGATGGCGTGGCATGGCATGTAGGAGTTGAGTTTACTTGAGTTGAGCTGCACTGCGCTGGAAGCTGAGCTCGCATCAGAGCGGCCGTCCTAATTATAGGCAGCGATCATTCAATGCTTGTTGCTTCTTTGTCGTTCGTTTAGGCAATACAACAGTTGGTGGTTGCTTTTTGTTATGTTGGTTGGCAAGACGCCTTCCGGATTGGGGTGCAGCGAATAGGAGAAATACGGTAAATACTCTAGAGTCAAGGTGCGAATAAGGTCACCAGTCAACTGAGGCTAAGGTATCGGAACAAATATGTCGGGACCTTACTGGAAAAGGACCTTACAGATACGATGCGGATATCACGCTTGGCCGGCTGCAATTCCCATCCAGGTCATCGGATCCGAACGGTACTGTGAGATGCGGTACCTAACACTACCTTACCTTACCTTACCTTACCTTACAGAGGTCTACTGTAGGTAAGGTACGGACGGAGACCCCAGTCGCCCCGGTCGTGGTAGGTTCACAGAGAGGTAAGGTAAGGTACAGAGTACCTAGGCAGGCATTGGCTCAGGCACAGGCACAGGCACAGGCGCAGGAACGGGAAGCTGATAGGAGGGCCAGATGGCGGCAATGTTCCATCCATTCGGAAGACCTGCAGCCCTGGCCACGCTCGCCTCTTCAGACGAAGGACACGACGACCACTGCACTCCCGTCGTCATGTCCATCCCAGCATGTTTCAAAGTCATTGCCTTTGTGAGCTATTTGATAGATGGACAGCCAAAGAACGGACCGCCATCCGTAAGCCGGTACGCCATCCCAAGCTAGAGGAGCTTCCTTTAGGCTTCGGCCTGCGTCTATCGTCGGCATCTTACCGATATCTTAGGTATGCTAGGTTGCCTGTGCCCAAGCTACCTACCTTAGGTACCTCATATTAAGATCCCAGAAAAGCCAATTTGTGGCCGCGGTAGGCACAAGACGAAAACGTTGGTAGCGATAATACACATCCGCTATGAAAATCCCCCACACCCACATGGCCGTCGTGGCTTGCTCACCCGTTCGTTCGTTGCAAAGTCCTGGATCTCTGGCTGGCCGCCCACCGCCACAAGCCCCGAACAAACGATCCCCTGCTCGGTTTCGCTCCGTTGAACGGATACATTGATATTCTTGACGTTCTCGTCCTGCTGGTGCCGGACTAGTCCTTACCGAGGTAGCTCAAAGGCGTCTCTCTTCCGACAACCTGGTTGGCGACACTCCATCCTGTCGTGATAAGTGGCTCTACTAAGGTCAGGGCCAAGGTCGTCAATTCAGCCCCATTTGACAAGAGCCTCCTCCTGCCCAGGACCTCGGGCCAAGGGGAGCGGGGGGCAGGGGTGCCAGACAACCTGGCCATCACGCGGGCGACTTCGGCGGAGCAACAACGAAAAAAGACGATGAAGCAGAAAAGGGGGGCGGGGGAGAGCGACGCGCAGATGCAGCGTGGACTTCCGCTTGAATCAGAATGGGGGTAAAGTAGGTAGGTCCGAGAGCACTCAACCAGAGATGCCAAGTTTGATGAGAAAGTGGATTGGCGGCGCACACAAGCGGTTTAGCTGCAGTTGTTGGTGCTGCGACAAGCTTGTGTGCACTGAGATCGGACCAACCGCTGTCAGCACATCAAATGATCTTTTGATGATGATCCCCTTGCCGAGACCATGACTGCTGCGTTGGAGCTGGCTTCTGCAACGTTTGACCTTGATTGCACGCGCCGGAGGATGGATCTGATGGAACCCCAACAGCAACGGCGACGACTCGTTTGCTTGCTTTTTGGTACCCGAAACGTCCATCACCCATCCGCACAATCAATCACACGCTGCTCACTCACGATGCATCCATCATCATCACCTTCATTATCAACCATCCGTCATCATGGACAATCATCACAGTACCTACCACGCGGCCGACACTGACACCGACACCGACACCGACGCCGACATCTGATTCTGAGACTTTGGCACCCCCTTCTCGGTCTCTGCCTCCGTCTCCGTCTCCGCCTCCCCCATGCTGGCCACCTAGTTCCCATGTGTGTGTCTTTCACCGGTCTGCCTCTCTTACCTCCAGTACGATTAGGTACCAGAAGCGAGCGCATCTCCTCTCTCCATGGAGGGCTTCATGCAGCATAAGCAGCGCCGGCACCCGCAGCGGCAACGCCAAAAAGTCAATCCCCTAAACCCAAGCATTGGCCCTTCTCCTTCACTTGCACATCACACACACACACACACACACACACACACAACACACTAGCAGAGGAGGCATCTTTTCACGCCCCCTTATTAGCCCAGGGAGAGAAGGAGCTTGCCAGTGCGGATGTTTCAACGACGGGACGGGCTGCACAAACACGAGCAAACCCGGCGCCCTACTGCTCATCATGCGGCCCGTGTCTGCCCGTTTGAGGAAATTAGCCCTGCAGCTAATCCCGAGGGCGTGGCCACCAAGCTCCGAGCCTGGTATCCGTATGGCACCGGCACGCAGCCACCAAGCTCGAACCCGGCTCGGCATCGCTCAATTCGGGTGCCTCGCGACGCCTCACGACCTCACGAGTCACAGACCCAATCCGCGCCTTGTACGACTGACTTCATGCTGCAATTTGCCCAATCACGGCTGGCCACCAAGCCCCGACACTTGAAAGCCTCGTCGACGCCTCTCTCACTCACACACACACACACATCATCCGTCCTTGCTTAGCCTTGCGCTACGCTTCTATGGGTCATCGACCACATCCACACCCGCGCAACCGCGCCCAGCGAGCACAACGCCGACGTGACTTGACGGACGCCATATGGGGCCAGTGGTCTGATCAATGTCTCCATTATTCTCCTTTCCAACGCTCGAAGCTCGCAAGAAGAGACACATCGAGTATGAAGCACATCTACAACCGCTGCCATGTCTCCTCCCTCTTCGGCCCGTAGTGGAGCTGCTCCTCTTGCCCTGTTAGGATACCCGTTGTACGGATATCTCGCTCGCTCTCTCTCTGTCTCTCTCGATCGAAGCAGCACTCCTTTTGACTCCAAGCCACCGCACTCACAAGAGCTAGAGATTGACCGTCAATGTTCTCTGGGCTCGCCTCTGCCATCCATCCCATCATGGTCTCGCCCGCCCAGGTCCCGTCGAGCTAAGGCGCGAACAGATACACTATTTCAGGAACGCGCGCGTTAGAGCCCGTTGGCTTCAGAAATCTCTGCGACGCGTTGAAACCCGTTAAGTCCACCGTCCGCAGACAACGTGGCGAGGTCAGTCTCGACTTCATCGTGGCGGCTTACCCACTTGATCGCCACGAGCTCCGAGATCTACGGCATGGGCTGTTCCCCGCAAGCACTCTGCAAAAGGGAAGAAAGGGGGGAAACACCTTTTCGACGCTCGTGCCTGCGACGCCGTGTCACGGTTGTTCCGCACCTGTTCCGCGGCATCGCTAACAAGTTTCGACCGTCTCTGGCGTCGAGTCGACTAACTTGGCAAGCAAGAGGCCGCCTTTCTGCCTGTCTGCACAGGCCACTCATCGTTCTTCACAAACACACGAGCACGAGAACCTCATTTCCGGAGAAAACGCCATGCTCCCAAAGCGGACTCCTGAGACACTGCGAATCTGTCATTCAGCTCTAAGATGGCGGTCCCATCCAGGGGGCGGCTGAGCACCAGAGCGCGTATGTATGTTATTTTCCGATGCCGTTGCTCGCTCTGGTACAAACGTGACAACTCTATTTGCAACAAGAAGAGGTCAATGGCTTCCGAGTATCCGATTTGGCAGCGTCTGACCATGGGACTGACGCGCCTCCGCTCTGGTCTGATAGTCCATCGCGTCCGCCTGTGGCGATGGAGTTTAAACCTACTCTGTAGCGTCGCTCCTGTTCTCGCTGATTTCCCTGGCGTTTCTTTGGGCCTCCGTGAGACCATGAAAGTCGACAGCTAAATTTACAGCCTGTCAAGCTACCCCGAGGAATAGTTCGCAACCGCGGTCGTCGAGAACAGACACATGAGCGCCAAAGCAGCTCCGCAAAAGCAGAACAACACGGCCGCCGCAAAGTCTTTGGTCATCCCGGTTGTCATCGTCATTAGTGGATGTCTGTTGTAAGTGAAGTGAAGCTTGGACTACACCGAGCTTGTGACGATCAAGTGGCAAAGGTAAACGAATCGCATTTGCAAAGCTGGCATGTTTTCGAGTAATCGTTTCTCGGTGAGGACACTAACTCTGGAACGGTGGAAGGGCGTTATAGTCCGTGTCTGCCAAGGCCATCTCAGACGCAGATCTGATGTCCCTCTTTGCCAGAGTAGTCCCGAGCAGCATTGCTTCCTCGATGTCAATTGATGTGTTCTGTGTTTCCTATGTATTGCTAGCATGGGATTTACAACGACCAAACATTAGCGCATGACTTGAACGATGATGTCACAGGGAGGCATTTGCGTGAAGATCGTCACGCAAAGATGGAGATCCCCTCAATAAGCCAGGCCAGGGAGTCGTGGGGCTGGCTGGATGGATTTTCAGCGGGATGTCGGTCATTCTGACTGCGAGGAGCAGCTGCAAATGAGTGGGTGCGAGATCTGTGGTCGATCACGTCGCACCTTTTTAATCCATCCGAGGCCCCCCACCCATTGAGTCAACCCCGATGATTCGCAAGCTTGTAGTCGAAATTTTTCCCTGCTCAATCTTCGATCAATATCGTCTCGTGACGTTGGTTATTCGGTTGCCCTGTGTCCCCGCGGGATCTCAATGGGTCTAAGATGCATTGATGCTGTCTGATCCTGTCGATCATCTAGGAGATTTTGCAATCCCACGACTGCTTCCATTTCCCCGTATTTTCCAGGCGTTGTCCACAGGGAAATATGATTATACCCTCGTGATATACACTGTAGAGATACGAGCCATTGAGGCCAGAGGGTGTATGTGCTTTTCTTTTGATAGTTGTGAATCCTGCGTGAAGTCTCTTGTCAAATGCAATACGGCTCAGGGGCTGACTGGGAGTGACGCCTCTGGGCCGACTTGATGACAGCGGGATGAACATACCGTTGATATGCCTCTGTGGTATGACGGCAGAGTACTCCTATAGCAGTTCACCTCATGTTGTAAGTTGACGACTGGAACCATCTGAAGTCTGCTAGGACGAGTGTGCTTTGTCTCAGACGACACGAACAAACCTGTTCTTCGAACTAAAGAAAACCAAGGTCTCCAAGAACATCGCCTCAACTGACCGGCATTGACTTTGGCAGTTGCGGATGCATATTCGGGACACCAGCCAACTACGAGACACTGCAGAAAGGCGATCATGGCCCAAAGAATAGGTTGAGCCATCACTGCAAGATCAGGTATTGGTAGGGCGAGATAGAAGGTGGTGAAGCCTCCGGAGAGAGACCTCGTTTAGACTGTTTTGTACTTTTCTTCGATCTGATGAACGCCTATAAGTTCTCATGTACCTGGGTTGTTTGCTGGGTGGGCACTTATAGATATTATTTTTATCCTGAATGAATTGGTATGTTGCCGCTAGTATGACAGCATTTTCGCAGTCTCTATTGCACTTGAACCCTGAGAAACATTAAGAACCGCCTCCTCATTATAAAGACGACCATCTATGTTCTCCACGCTATCTTAACCACTTCTCCACAGCAGTCATCGTGATTTCCAACTAATCTTGCTCTTTTTGCCGGTTCAATGGCAGACTTCAAGGCATTATAATATTTGTCGTTGCTTTCGTAGTACATATTCAACCTATCAGGCACAGTTTTAGCCCTTTCGTCAATGTTTGACGAGCGATGAAAGGCTGACGTTTTCGAAATTTCGCTTTGATGATATCACTACTAGACGTATATACCCACAACACATCAACCTCTTTTGACGCAGCCTGAACTAGAGCATCGACCTAAGACAGTCTTCAAAGAAGCAGCAAGTCCAAAGAACAATGATTCTCATATGTCACTAATGAACTTGGACGTCAGGCTACCTAGTTATCCCTGCGACGACGCAGACAGTGTGGAGGAAGATGGGTTGATGTTTACTCCAGCCCGGAGTTCTCCGCCACTACTTCAGACGAAACCAACTACAACACCATTTAATACAGGCGCAGGAACAAGCTTATTATAAGTCCCAGCTTATAGCACGATCGCAGATAATTGGTCATCAAATACGACAATGCTGAGTTCAGGACATCCTGTCGGTTGAGATTGCTCCAGCACAGATGTAGGCACAAGCTCAACATGTGAGAGTTCATATATTCAACCTTATCGTCACGACTGATACATACGACCATACCCACTGGAGAACTCGGGATCCCGTCCGCTCTCCTATAGATAAGCCAGTGAGGGCTGGAGTAGTAGTCGGGTCGGTGACGACCGGCGAATGCCCGGTGTTGTATGTTTCCTTTATTTTTGTTCTGTGCGTCTAGCTCATAAGGCCTTTCTCAATCGCCTCATTTGTTGTCTGCCGTGTACGTGATGCTTGCTTTCCTGTGTCGCCCGGTCCATTGTCTTCTAGGATTGCTATGTAGGCATGGCTCAGCCTCAAGGTTTGCGTCAGATAAACAACCATCTCGGTAGCCAATAGCGAGGTTCCCGAATCTGGACATGGAGCTGGCTTTTGAGTCGTCCCACGGCGTAGACAAAAGTCTTGTCAGTCATCCCGCAAGAACCCTAAATGAGGAGGTTCCGGTAGATGCTTGCTGATACTTCGACACAGTTCATGCTTTGTGGGGACTGTCCAGGTCCGTGTAAGTATACAAGGGAAAAGCGAGCGCTCTGGTTTACTGCCACTCTCCACGTAATCTATGGTAAGTGACTTCAATAAGTCCATGCTAAGACCGAATGACGAAGGAGCGCACACTTCACCGATAGATGTCACAGAAGCGAGCCACGAGGCCGAGACCATTGAAGTGATCGGCGTAGCCCTACGTTCCCGAGACTCAAACATGTCCAAATGTCTTTCCCGCGGCTGCTCGTCCGGTTAGCCAAGCTCTTCCACCCGCCTCCATCATCGGCTCTGGCTCCCGCGACCAACTTGCAGTCTCAAGACTCCGGGCGAGGAACGGTTTGATTGTCTGGGCGGGGGACCCCTATTTGGGAAACGGACATCTGATGTAGCCGCATCAGCCGCTGAAAGCCTGTCACATCGTGTAGATCTCCTGCAAGGGATGTCAATTAGCTGCACGATATTGAGGCTTTCCAGACAAATCTTTGCGTATCTGGCCCGTGAAAGAACTAGTATCAGTGTTAACCGAGCTAGAACTCAAAGCTAGTAGCCTCATCTGAATCAACATGGCCCGAAAAAATGGCATCCAACTACCACATTCTCCAGCCCCAATATAATGTAATCCAGCAAACCAACTGCAAGCGGAACTTTATTCAACTCATGTAGAGCGACACTCCGTTAAATAACCGGGAATCCTCAAAGCGGTAGCTTTCGAAATGAAACAAAGCAAATCAGACTCTTGTGATCCAAAATGGCAGGGTATATCCAGCGCCCCAAGAAAAATGCGCCTTCCTCATAGGGGACTAGGAAAGCCTAAAAGCCTCCGCCTTTTCAATCACAATCGACGCCTCTCCCAAAAGTACAATTGAAACCTCGAAAGTGTGAACCGAAAGCACCAAAGATGCTTACCGTCAGTTGCAATACTGATCCCCATCGTCCTCGTTCCTAGAAAAGGTCCTGTTTTTCCTGTCATAGCGTGGCATTCAAATCATAAGAAAATCTCTGGGCCCCCGTTTCAGCGTCTTGGTCTTTGTTGCCTTGACCCTCAAACGCCTTCAAGCTGCGATTATAAAACAAGAAATAGCAGTACCAAGGTTAGTAGGTGCGAATGATCTCCATGCCGAGTGACGTGTGATGTGGAGTGTTACGGATGACGGGACGAAGGTGTCTATCGCCAAAGAAAGTCGCTCGTCCTTACAGCACGGCCGGTGGCGTGAGATATAACCCTGGTGTTCTCGCATGCGTCCTCGAAATCGTCGTCAAGGTTGTATTCTCGGTAGTACCACTGGTTTGTCCTCGGATCAAAAAAGTCACGTCGGTGAAGCTCGGGCGTATGCAGGCCAAGATAGGACATCCACTGCGTGTGTTCTCGTAGTACCGCGGGGCTGCTGATATCCTCTGGGCCTAGAACGGTGTTGATGGGTTGCGAGATGGACTTTTGTCCTCGGGCGTCCCTATCGTTAAACATGAGCATCAGACGCGACGATATCTCCTTATCGATGGCACTGAGTATCTGCCCAGTCTCAATGCGATTGGCTAAGCCCGTGAGATACGCTTTATGGCCGTTCTTTCTTGGGGAATGTAGATGAGCCTGGATGGGTTAGCTAGAAGCAAGATGGTCGAACGATTTGATGCAAACCTTCATCTCTCGTCTGGTGTCTGTTAGAAATGCACAGTTGTCCATAATGCAGCGATAAATCTCCTTGAGATACCCCGGCTCAGCAATCTGCGGCGGGCAGCAGTGCGTCGTAGGCTGCAAGTCTGGCAACAGGGACACAGGTCGGCAAGTTTGGCAAAGGCCCCGAACGCACGGCTCGTTGGCGGAACATTCATGATCGAGATAGTAGTGAAACTGTGAGTTGGCCCATTGTCAGCCCGACACTCTCTGGTCACGTCACATTGCCACAACGTACCTCGGAGCATCCGGGTCGAGAGAAGGTTGGATCTCTCTTAGCATCTGTCGGATTCGGCTGATCGTCGTCAGCAACATTAATTGTAATGGCAGCGCGATGGTGTCGTTTCGCTTACGATTCTTAAGTCGATCCTGTCTTTCTGACTGACATCGCCGCGGATAACTTTTGCTGGTAGGGGAACGGCATTCCATCGTAATGAACACAAAGAGCAGACAAATTTCCGGGGCCAACTACACGTCTGGTGAGGGTCGGCGACGGCCTCGGCTTCCTGCAATCGCCAGCCAATTCCATTGCCATAATCTCGGGATGTACGGGACAGGCCCGCATAGTCCACACTCCAGCCCGTCTGAATCGGGTCCCCGTTACTAACTGATAACGAGCCATTCAACTCCGAAGGGAGATTCTGTTCCTGAAATGCCGGTTGGCCAGTGACACTATCGAGGTAGGAGCCGGCATCACCATCCACGCGGATGAGAACATGGCGAGGCGTATTTGAAGTGGTTGTAGATAGATCGAAAGGGTTGATAGAGCCGACTGTGGGTCCTGAAGCTGGTGTTGCAAATCTGCTGCTAGTGACACTCGCAGTCTGGCTGTGACTTTCAACCTCGTCGTTTGACTTCTTCGAGGCTGGAGTTATGGTGGACGCCGTGGAGGGGAAGGAAATGGCGTCGAAGTGTTTACCCTGAAGTGATATTCCGGCATTATGACGGACACTGTTCGCATTGATCAAGGCAGTAGCGTTGTCTCGGTCCTGTAGCTGAACCTGGACAGGCGGACGAGTAGTTGGCCATGGTTGGCGATGCATGGGATATCCATGGTGTGGTGGGGGAAACGGAGCAAAAGCGTTTCCCCCGATAGAACCGTGATGCCCAAAAGATCGATTCGAGATGGTCAAGCTCATGTCGCGGGCGTCTCGTTCCTGGAATGTCGACCGTCGGACGATTGACTGGTTGCCGCCGAGGTTGTGCTTGGCTGTGTCCAGTGGTATCTGATGTTGATGGACAGCTCCAAGCTTTTGGGGCTATTTGGTCTGAGCTTGTCGGCACGGGTGACTGCAGATGGACAAGGACCACCAAATATAAAATGGAAAAGGCTAGGGATGGGCGGAGGCGAGCCGTCATGTAAGATGAGCGGCGAGTTGAGTCTTGCACAGCAGTGCGACGGGAGTGAGAATGATGAAAGAAAGGGTGTGTGTGTGTGCGTGTATGGGCGCGCTCGCGTGTGGGTGGGTGATCTGATGGTACTATTCCCCTGTCGCTCACGATCTGGTGGGATCCATAGACGGCGTGCTCAGGGTTGTTTCTGCTCTTGCCAGCGTTGTTTTTCTTCCTCCCGGCCTGAATCAGAAAAAGAAGGGTAAAGCGAGTGGTCCTAGGTGGCGGCCCCTAGTCTCAGAGTATCGCGAGGAAAAAGCAATGGGGACACTCTGACACTCCGGCTCTCTGGCCTCGTCTTCGTCGTCGTCGTCGTCGTCGTCGTTGCTGGTGCCGCACTCGCTACCAGACACGCCTCACTATCTATATGTACGTAAACTGGGTACATCCAGTCCTGAAGACAAGCAAGAGATAGCTCTGGAGCTATGCAATACATAGCAAGGTTTCATTCTGCAAACGCGGAGCGCATGTGTGCAGAGTCGGGTACGTATCCGTACGTACGACACGCCGCGATGGTCTGCAGTAGGTAATCTTGACTGGAGCCCAAATGGGCTGGGGTTCGACGTACTACGAAGTACCTATCCAGTAGCAGCGGACAAGGGAGAAGACGACAACAAGCAGGGGTAAAGGTACAGGCCTGGGGAGCGGCGTCGGCGTCATCGGGATCAGGGCCAGGCCAGGAACAGACAGCTAAGCCGATTGACAACCATCGATTGCAGCGTCCAAAGTCAAGGCTAGATTCAGATGGACAAGGCAAGGCCAGACGACATCAGACGAAACTCGCCGCTGTTCATGCCAGACAGAACGAGGCTCAGGCAGGGCAGGACCGGGCAGGGCAGGCTCAGGCTCAGGCTCAGGCTTCAGGCTCGGTTCCCAAGTTGGGTTCCATGCTCGAGCAAGGCAAGACACCCAACAATCAACATATGCACCATGGACCAACCCCCTGTCGAGTGGTGTCGAGCCGCTGCCACTCTGCGCGCCGATGTGCTGTCATGCTCGTCAGTCCTGAGAAGAAACAACTGCCCCCGGTACGGACGTACGAAGAATAGGAAGACGCAGATGAGCTGCAGATTCCTGCAAGCTGTGTCTTGACTTACCCCATCAGCCAGCAACCCTTGCCTGTCTCGCCTCCTCTAGCCACGCTTGGATTGGCTCGGAACAAACCCTTCTTCTCAGGGATGGTCCATCTCTATCCATTTATCAACACTACTTCCTCTTGACAGAAAAACCCTATCCATAGCTATCCGCGCACTAATCCACAACTCTCCGATCGATAGACGAACAAGTGGCCGATAGTCGACTGCCCCAAAACTGTGGGCAAGATCTGGGGAAGACAGGCCAATGGGCAACGTTCTCGATTGCGTAGCTTGCTGCATTCGCATCTCGTTGAGGCTTAGGGCCGGTGTGGATATTGCTTTTTTCTTTTCTAGCCCCTCCCCTCCTCGCTCCTAGCCCTCCGGACTCATTCCCACTCGAAAATGGATCCGCGATGATTCAAATTTCGCATACCGCGTCAAAGAGACGATGGAATGACCAGTGGAGATGGCCTGATATGACCGTCTTGGCTTCGCTTCGTCACTTGGATACGTACTCTCTCTGCTGCATCCTTCTCTTCGCGGCAACAGCATCCATGCTGATCCGTCTGGCTGCCGTCTTGTAGATACTCGGAGGCGTAACTCGCAAGTGGCCGTTGACTCGCGGCTAGGTTCCGGCCGCTCTGTCGTGGTATTCGTATGTCTTGACGACTTGGGTCGTTCAGGACTTGCTGTATGGATTCCTCACTCCCACTTTTGACCCAGCCGTTGTCGAGCTACACCGCGCCACGGATATTATCTGGGGTTGCATTTGTGTCTAGATAAAGGCTGTTGAGTCTGTTTAGACGGGGCTGGACTCTGCATGGTTTCCTTCAAGGCTGCCATGGGTTCGGACGTGACGTCCATGTTCCCCTGATGACTTGTGCAAGCGAAATATGACGGATGACGACCCGATTGACTGGGCCTCAATGATGCCGATATGCAGGTTATTCGAGCTGATGGCCGGTAAATGCAGCCCAACTTGCTGAATGATGGACTCCCTGCCACCATCGACGATGTAGGCATATGCTTTTCAGTTACTGTCTGGCATTCGAGATGCGATGTGATGCCATAAACTTACCATCCCTAGTCTGCCCAGTCCAGCCCAGCCCAGCCCGGTGCGACTCAGGAGTCCAGGACCACATCTCCGGGCGCTGTCAGGACTCGAATTCCGATCCGTGTGTAGGATTGGCACATGCCTGCCACCTGAGGCCCGAGTGAGCCACGGGATAGACCACTCACTTGAGGCCTAGCCCTGACGACGTGGAACTCGAAAAAGCAATATGCCACAGCCGGCCCAGACGCCGTTGCCATCCGGCATACGATCGACATCCATGTGTCGCACCTCCAGCTCGAATCAGCGTGGCATCCAACCCCTGCCCAAGCTCTGCCCTCCAAGTCAATTAGCGGTGTGTTGCTGCTGCTGCTTCTTCTCAAGAAAAAAAACGTGGGCTGCCTGTCAGGCAAGGGGTTTACGGGACGACGAGCAAAATAATGCACCAAGACCGACGGAAATAGCAATCAAATTACTTCAGCTTCAAGGGCGACCAAGGGATAACTCAGTTCACAGGGATACAAATGGGTGTTGATGTGAAATCTGGAAACAATTCAATCCGCACAAGCGATGTCCAAGAACCCTTCTGACATTCATCCTCGTTACATTATCACGAGCCGCAACACGTATCTCCATGTCCGTCTCCAACTTTGACATCCTACTCGGGAATGCCACTGAGCCATCTGACAATCAGAAGGAACAGCGGCTCAACTTCGCTCGAGTCTGGTAAGACGCGGGTAGAATCAGTCCCAGCGTAGCTTTGCTGGAACATAATCCGCCATCCCCGATGAATACAACTCCCGACGACGTCATAGCCGCATCCCTTTTTTGCAGCGGATAGGGCAGCTGTCTCGGATCGTGTAGGATGAGAGACGGGGGACGATCATAGTCGCTCCCCGCCATCCTCCATCATCTCAGCTTCAGCCACGAAATTGCACACCGCAAACCGCAGTACCGGGAAAATCTCCGTGGGCCTTAACCGCTAGGATAGGTCAAGCTCTCTAAGGTCTCCCTGTACGCCATGTACTTCTGCAGGAAGACAGGTGGCCGTTAACAATATGTCTTAGCCATGGTCATCGCCCATGAGCCGCATGGTGCGGCCCCAACGAGACCAGTTCCCCAGCGCCCGTCGGAGCAGTGTAATTCGACTTGGCATCGACCATTCTCGAAAGCGACTCAGGCGTGTTGACCAACGTGTCTCAGCTTGCACAATGTACCCAGTCGTCCGCATGGTAGATGTAGAAAAAGAAAACATGCCCCTGTGCTCGTGCTTTGCTGTTTGTGTTGCAGGGCATATCTTGTTGGTGTGCGTGTGTGCGTGTGGCGGTCTGGCAAAACCCTTGAGGACATGGTTCAAAACCTCGGCGTCCAGCAAGTCTTGTCGACATCTTGCTCAGATGTGAGCAAGGCAGCGACCTCCAGTCAGTCTACCTGCGGACCCCAAAGGTTGGCTGCCAATCGCAACCTGTGCTCAAGCACTGGTGCTGAAGTAGTAATTTTCCCATAGATACTCATAGTCCTCCAGGATGCCACCGATGATCCCAGGTACCCTTGATCTGACGCCTCCGACGACGCCCTTCATAATGTTCTCATAGAATGCCCCACGCATTGTCCACCATCCCATGGCCCAGCCTCTCTTGCTCCATTCGTCGCGTTCTAGAGGCGTAGTCCTGAAACTACGGTCCCTCAGCTGGCGAGCCGCGTATTCGACGGTCAACCCGACAAGCCACGGTGTCCAGGATTTCTTGTTCTTGCTCCTTGAGAGTGCGACAGCGTACACCAATGGTGCAAGTATGTGAAGCACTTCGGCTGCCTGCGCGCTACCCTGAAGTTGATTCAGCAGCTTTGCCGCTGGCTTGACATCGTCAGCGGTTAAGACCTTGCTCAACAGGTAGCCACTGATGTCGCCGGCGTTCGGTAAAGAGGGTAAACTCATGCCAGTTCTGGGCATCGACCAATCTTTCTCGTGGGGCTTGGGGGCTTCATCCCCAGCTTCGGAGGCATGACCATTGGCCGACTCGCCCATCAGCTCCTTCAGGCCGGTATCCTCCTCCGACTCTGGCTCTTCTGGAATGGGTTCCCGCTCGGGTAGGACTGGCGTGACGATAGGACGGGCGCGAGTGACTCGAAGCAGCAAAAGACGACAGATGGCTTTGATAGCTTCGAGGAGGACGATAACGCGCCATCTGCTACGTTCGCCTCCTCGTCTTTTGGCGGCCATCTCGCATAGCAGTTGAGTATAGGTCACCATCTGCAAGAGCATGGCAATTCGGCGGTACATGGGGCTGCGCTGAGTCCAGTGCTTGGTATACCGACTGTGGGGTGATGGTAGTCGTGCCATTGGGATGCGCGACAAGGCGCGCATAAGTAGGGTATCATGGTAGAGTGAAAGGAGTTGCACACTCGAATGCAGAGTTTCGGATGCGATTTCGGCGTCCCGGAACCGACCTGGGGCTCAAAGGTTAGTAGGCAGGCAATCGAGTCGTTTCGCGGGGAGTGGCATTACCAGGGATGATGTAGGTCAGAGACCGGAGGGCCGACTCTATTTGCGAAACCTGGCTGGCGTTCTTGGTGATAAATTCATCATACATTTGCAGCCATTGCGGCGGCAGCGACAGCACAGCACGAATAGGTGATGGCTGGTGCGATAGCCGTGTTTTGTTGGGAACGTCGGCTGAGGTCGACATCGCGAGGTCTCTACGGCATCGAGTTGAAGACGGCGACTAGAGATGAGAAGCGACAGAAGGGGTAGGGGAGTCGAAATACGAAGGGATGACAGCAAGAGGACGAAAAATGGGCGTGATTAAGGAATGTGGAGGTTATCGGCGGCAAAGCGCGAATTACTTATTGAACTACTGCTCTGAACACAAGAAGGTCCAAACAGAGGAAAGTGGTGAGGTAAGAAGGAGTGATGAAGTGCTCAGCGCGGCGCATCGCGACGTAGATGGGCGTGACGGGATGCGCTGGGTGTTGCTAATTAGCTGCCTCTACCTGCCTTGCCTCCCACAGTCTGCTAGCCTGAGGTCAGCCCGGGCGCCGACTTTGAGCCGAGGCTGGGTGTCATAAGCCGTTCGGCCATGGCACTGGCACAAGCACGGTACAGCAAGCGCAGGTGGAAGGTACCTAACCCAAAGTAAAGTCCCTACCTAACTGGAGATTGCAGCATGAGGCGGGAAAGTACACGGCCAACCAAGCAGTGTGCCGCATTGAGCCAATGAAATTATGTTGCATGCCTCGGGAACGACCATCCCTGGACCTGCGCAATCCATTAGTTGCATAAGGTAGCTTCAGTGTCCTTTCAATACGGATCACATCCCGTCCGATTGACTTCCATGTGAAAGGTACCAGTCGCCGCGTGTAGGCACATCCGCTTGAACTTTTGCATCTCTTCAGTCTCCTGCATAGAATCGTCCCTTCTTGACACAGCTACCGTACAATTCAAGATAATACAGATGTCGGATTGGAAATACCCGTAATCACAATCGCACCGGGTCGTCTGTGTCTTCACGGGAAAGGGCTCGGGGTATCAAAAAACAGACATGCCTTGCCCCCAGGCCAAACTCCGGAACGGGTGAAATCCTCCCACGCAATTCGCCCTATCCATATCCCACGGGGAAATAAGAGGTGTTTGGGACTCAATATGGGTCAGTGGTGTACCTTTTCGTCTTCCAATTGGTTGCTCGGCTTGCCGGCGTTTCCTCCGGAGCACACTCCTATGAAAGCCTCTCAAATCCGGCTTCCTTCAACTCACGCCCGGTTGGAAGCATTGGGCGGCCTTGCATGGGGAATGGCCAAAATAGAGGATTCTCCATGATTTGAGCCGCTCGCGATACTGACGGGCTCTCCTGACTTCCCGTTCCCGCTGCTGCCTTCGATTCCATCGCCTCACCGCTGCCAAGGCCGCCTCCCCACACGCAGATGAAGTCGTCTTCGAGGACATTTGGCGCGAAGAAATTCAGACTGCTAGTGTACGGCCTGGCAAGCTGTGCATACTCGGCATCCGAAGTGGGTGTTGAGCCCATGTCGACCTCCAAACCCCATTTCTTGGCGAGGTACCGCAGGATATTGAGCGCTTGTTCCGCGAAATGATGGCACGGCGCCATCTCCTCCAGATCTCGGATGCCTTGTTTGATTGCTTCTACGCCACGGGGAGGATGTGATGTTCCAGCAGATGATTTGGGCGCTGTCTCGCCTGATTCATCAGAGTCTCTCTGCGGGGCTGGGGCTATTGCTCCGATGGCCAAATGCATAATAGCAGATGTCAGAACGAAGTAGGGCACAAATGAGGGTGTCCGACGCAAGGTGTACAATTGCGAGTAGGAGCGTAGCAGACCCTGAATCGCATCTGCGGCCTGACAGCACACGTCTCTTGGCAGTAGCTTGGAGCCAATGATTCGAAGTTTAATCAGCGGCCGGAAGAGGAGAAGGATCGCAAAATGGTAATACATGCTGGGATGAGTTTAGCGAAAGCCTTCGGGGATTCGTGGTAAAAGGGAGACTTACTGCGCAAAGAGCACAGCGGGGGTGAAATTATGACCCAATCTGAGGACTTCAGGTATCCTGTCATACCAATTTAGGTACTGGGTGTAGATGCCGAGGAGGTCACGGCTGGTCAACGGCCTGCCTGGAGAGTGGAGTATGTAGAGGCTCTGATGTACAAGCTCACTCAGTTCGCAAAAACACTTGTAAACGGACCGAACATTGGAAGGTTGCTCGGCTGAGCGTTGCAGCGGCGCCCCTATCGAAGTATTGATCAGTCAAACATGATCGTAACAACTGCAGATAGACTCACCATCATCGGTATAAGGAATCCACAATGACGCTTCAATATCATCGATTATGGCGGGCTTCGGCGGCAGGTGAGGGAAACATGAACATTGGGGAAGCGAGCCAGTCGCCAGAGACCAAGCGCTAGGGGGCAGTTAGCTAGGACACATGCTTCGCACCCTGGCAATAGACTTACTGGTCTAGAGCGAAAGCGCCCCAGAAAGTGGCAGCCTGAACCGCAAACTCATCATGGTCTCCGTCGTCCTGCAGCTGATGGAGCCCCATCTCAATGGCCAAACGGATACTTTGACCGGCGTAGTACCAACTTTCCGAATCCCGTCCACAGCTAGCCTCGCGTATGGACATTATCCCCAAAGCCTGGATGGTCGTCAAAGTATGGTGGTCGTCCTCGAGGTAGAAGAGTCGCTGCGCCTCTTTGAAAAAGTGATCGCCCGAAGTGTAAGGGTCGCTAGGGTTAGCTCGCGTACTGGACTTGCTGGAGAAGCGGCATCCCAAGGCCAAGAGGGCATTGACCAAGATGGGCGAACAGTATCGGGATATACCGTTTTGGAAATCTCTAAGGAAGTGCTCTTTGCTCAACGACGCGAATGTTGGATATTCCCAGCAGAAGTACAGGGCAAGTAGGTGTTGAACCAGAGAGCCGTCCTCGGTAATATTCGTCCAGTTCTCAGGGGGCAGCTTCATGTCAGGCAACTCAAGTGGTGCGAGAACCTGATCAAGCCCTTGATACCTCCCGCCTTCAGACGCCTCCGTGTTACTAGCACTTTCCGGCCATGAATCAATGGGCCCTTGAGGGAGCCTATTTGTGTCTGCACTCCAGTTCATCAAGTCAGGATGAGAGTTACTCCTAGTGCTTTGACTATGAGACGAGAGGTGCCAAGGACTGTTGGGGTCCAGATCCTGGCGCAATCCCGACTGTCCTGTATTGGGACTCATGGTCACCGATCCAGTTCCCCCAAGGTTTCTTGTCCTGATTGGGGCAGGGCCTGATCCTGGGTATCCAGAGCGTGTATTCAAGCTGCCGCTCGCTTCACTGGATGGCTCAGCCGGACGGCTGAAGGACGGCCGAGGACCGCCGCCAGATGGGAGGGTGCCGCCAAGCCATTCCGATACTGACTCAAGGCTCTGACCGTTGCGCAGGCGCTGGAGCACATCTTCCCACATGTCGGACCGCACCAGCGCTGCGATGACCTGGTCACTGGAGCGCTGACGTTGGCGCAGTTGCTCGATCTCGGTCCGGAGATGCTCCTTGGATTGGCGAACCGGGATTTCGTACACACACTCTACGTCTTTCTGAGCCTTACAGCGGCCGCATGGCTTTTGGCCGTCGCACTAGTAGCAGCAAAGAGGTCAGATAACGGAACTTGAAATGGAGTGAGAGCACCTTGGTGTGTCACGAAGCCTGACAATCGCATACCTTGGCACGCTTTTTCCGACACTCGGTACAGGCGTTGGGTGTTACAACACCCAGTCCTCTTCTCCTCTTGGATAGCTGGCCGGGACCGGAAGTAGAGGCTGGGGTCGCAGCGGAAGGCGCTGCTGGAGTCGAAGCAGGTACGGGGGCGGCTGAAGAGGCGGCAGCGGAAGCAGATGATGCCCCCACGGAGGAGGCAGCGCCGGCGCCGGGGTGGGCCTGCGACTGGCCACCGGATGCCTCCTCCATATCGGCAGTACTTGCGCGCTTCACGTTGACTGAGGGTGGCCTCGAGGCGAGTCCACAGAGCAAACGCGACCTTCAAAGCTTTGTATGCGAATTGTCATAATGAGGCCGTTCAAAGACGGGCGCAAGACGACATGTATCTTATCGAAGGCAACAGAGCTTTAGGAATGAAGCTGACGCGGGATCGCGCGACCACGACGGGGTTTGGATTTGTCGAGGAGAATGGAGAACCGGATAGTAGGCGCACGCGAAGTGAGTTGGCGCGGGGCGGTGGAGGGTAACGAAGGCGCAAGGGACCAAGGCATGGATCGTGGGGCACGCTGTAGAGGTTTGAGGACCTGTCGCTTTCTAGGGTTCGGCCGATTGGTATATAGTCATGGGCTTCGTCGCTTTTGCAGTCGGTTTAGTGGCGTCTCGTGAGTCGCGGGGTCGTGAGCGGGAGGTCCTGAGAGACGACTGGTCATTCGACGATTGAGGCACCTCACGGCCCCTCCTGCTATTGGTATGCGGACGATTGAAGCATACGTCGGAAGTGTATGTAGTTAGGTACAAATCGAGGGTTGGGACGGGGAACAGGACATCGGAAGCACTATGAACGTAGGGCGGTGAGGGCGAAAAGAATTTAGAATGGGAACCAAGGAAAAAAAAAGGATTGGCCGTCGTGATGAAGAGGAAAGTGGTGGAAAAGGCGGGAAGGGATGACGGTGCGGCGGCGTGGTCGGGACTAGGTAACGGAGACTGAACACAAGCGGGTTGAGGCACAGACTCTTTCTGTATCTCGGTCTCTGCCTCCAAAGCTGTGTGGCTATTGCCGTGCAGATGCAGGTGCAGGGCAGTTCCTTCCCCAGATTGCAGAGCTTCGTGCGCAAACAAGGTCCAGGTCCCAGGTCTAGATCCAGTTGTTTTTACGCTTGAGGTGGAGGAGAAACTTTTTTCGTATGTCCCGTCTAGTTTGGTCAGGCAGGTAAGGCCAATCCCGCGTCAGGTCAGGTCGGTAGGCAGCTGGTAAGGCAAGAGCCACGGTAGCTCTGGTCTGCATGAGATACTTTCCTTGCCTTGACCAGACCAGGTGTGTGAGTATGGGTGTGTGGGTGTTTGTGTGTGTGCAGCTAAGCTACAGTGTACCTTAATGAGCCTCTCACGGGACGACCTGCGAAGCTGCCGGCGAGGAAGGGCAATCCAACCTACGGAATTCCCAGACAATGAAGCCTCGGTGATGGCAAGGCATCCGAAGGTTACTTTGGTGCCTTTCCTTCAGCTTACACGTAGACATCTTTCTACACACACCAAATACGCAGTACTCTTCCACCTCCGCTGCTCATATCTTGAGTGCCTGAGGTCGAGCCCACTTGCGGTGCCTCAATCCACCATGGTGACCTGCCCAGAGCTCCGACGGGAAGTGAGTGATCTGGGTTTGCGGCCTCCCCTCTCGTCTGTCGCAAGCGCTAACTCAGCAAGGTACCGTTTTGCAGCTACGGTAAGGTACCGTGTGGGATGGATCATAGCTTCGTAGCTCTCGCCCCACCACAGAGTCCACCATGCTGACGGTACCTTAGTGTAAGGTAAGGTAGGGAACGCAGCTACCTCTCACGTTGACCAAATGCGACGGAAGTACAAATACCTTCAGCCCATCGCAATACTCCCTCGAATCTGCTTCGCAACAGCTGCCGTGAAATCTTTCAAAGCTTTGCATCGGTTTCTGCTAGCTGCCTTGCGTCCTCACCGGCACTTGTGCATACTTCGACCAGCCCGATTCACACCCATCCACCCGTCCTATCGGCTGCATCCGGTACCTGATATGCCATGGTTTGCGAAGCGCAGCGGCAGGGAAGAAATGAAATCGCGTGCGGCGGCGTTGTGAATGGCAGCAGCTGAGCAAAAAAGCAGGGCCCCATGTCTGCCCAACCTCCCCCCTTCTTACCTACCGCATCGCACCGCACCGTACCGTATCCGCGTCGCCGTATTCTTCCCTTCCGCCTGGATATTTTCCTCCGGGCGGCTCCTCTTTTGCAATTTCGGCGCCGCTTCACCTAGGTGTGGTCTATGAGCCCCCAGCACCGCGCTGCATTATGAAACCCTGCTCATCACAGGGACTTCCTTGCACTCTTGTTGGTATCAGGCAGCATACAACGGATGCGCGGGTCGCCCGAGGCTGGCGACAACGCCTTGCGAGCAGAATTGCCCGAGGCACTAGGTTTGATGCCCCGCGTCGAGGGCTCTTTCAAGCCTTCCGCCCTAGCCACGTTACATAGATCGAGAGGTTGGGGACTGGGTTCCTCAGGTCGACTTCACGTTGAAGTATACCTCAGGCCGCAACTGCTGGCGAGTTCGCTATTTTGCTCCGGCAATTTCCAGCACCCAAGGCAACTTGAAGCACCAGAGTCCCTTAACCTGATGCATCGTCTCTCTCGCTACCTAATTCTCGTGCACATTGGTGTCCTTCAGCCCACGGCGAAAAGCCACATCGGCTCATGTTTCGTAACCCCTAGAAGCCACGCCCTTCTTCTCAACTAACGTTTGCTTCCATCGAGTCGGAACCCTAAAGATGTCTTGCCTGACGTAAGGACTCGCTCTCATGTTACACACCCAACAAGCTCTGAGGGTGGCAGCATGTTCCCAAGTACACGGAACATATTGGACACCTGCTGTGGCGGAATACACTCCGCTCGTCGCTGCCTGTCCGTAGACAGTGTCAGTAGAAAAGCGGCATAGCCAACTCCTGGCTTTCAAGAGTGAAGTGGATCCCCTATCTTTCCCAGCCTCTCTGTGGTCATCATCTCAGGACGAGGGCACACCCTCTCAAGAGACGAACGAAACCTTCAGGCACTGTTCAGAGAGAGGGGCTTGACGAAGAGCAAGGCCGAATTCTCCGTGCGTCAGTGAGAGAAAATTGACGTCATGGAATTTGGCAGGGGCTGGACGCGGGAGAAAAAGTCCACTTCAACGGGAGCACCCAAGAGATGCATGACTAAGCCACTAGCATGGGTTCTAGACCACTCGGCCCCTTTAGTCTACTTGGAACCGAAGTGCCCTGACCTCACTGACGGTACAGAGGTGTATGCGTACACTGCATACGAATGGAATATTGATATAGAGTAGTTAGGAAGGAATCGGAAACCACAAAAGACCTCACTGACGGATAATAAGCAATTCCGCTGTCAGAACGTAGGTAGGTTCCTGGGTTACCTTACGCTCTAACAAAAACACGCGTCTCTAGCTCACGTTGGCGAAAAGCTTCAGAAATAATTAAATCCATTGACAAACGAACTTTGCATTCGCGGCCAAGAACGAAGTACGGTTACAAGAGTTCACCGTACTGCTCGACTCTGTGCTTCGGCTTTCCAGCCTGCATTTCCTAACCCTTTCCAGGAACAGGCCTCAGCTTTCCAGCTTGCTTTCCAGATGACGCCGCATCAACCCCAAGAACCCTGTCCCCTGGATTTCACACTATACAAATGAACCTCACAACTCCAGACCATGCATTGTACCGAGCGTCTTATGTGTACCCTACAACCTCTGAGGAAAAGTGAGATATTAGACTTTTCAATAGCCCTTGACGGGGCTAAGACCGTATTTGGCCGGGCTCCGTAGCCGGTCCCGATCGCCCTTGCTCGGGCTTCGCCGTCCCGAAGGTGTTCGCGGCGGCATAATCATCTTTGGCGGAGATGCATCCGTGTCCGTAGCGTCGCTATCCACGTCGTACTTGAGATGCTGTCGGCGGCGGGAGGGCGTTTGAATCGGAACCCACATGTATGCTTGTGAGGGCTGAGGAATCACCGACGGCTCTGGAGCAGACCCGGACGCTGCGCGGTGCACTGTAGGCCGATCTGTGCTGGCCGTGTTTGCAAGGCGGCCGAGCGTGAGGTTGTTTGCAACGATACACAGAAGCAGAATGCCGAAGAAGAAGACCTGTCATACAAGCTTAGCAATTGCGGGCCAATCTTCACGGCGGTAGTGTCCAGTAACTTACCCAAGCCTTGACTTGCATCGCGCCCGCAAACTCGTTGAGAATTTCTGCAATTTGCTTGACCGTGACTCTCACGCGCATGATGGCTGACGGATCCTGAATCATGCATTCATACCACTCATCACACATGGCCTTCAGCGCCGGCCTGTCCTTCTTGGCACATTCGTTGAGCTGGTACTCCGAGCGGCATTCTGCCATCCTGCTTTCGATCTCCTGGCGAGCCACTTCGTTCGCGTTTCTAATATCGGACCGGACTGTATCCACAATGGACCAGCAGAAGAACACGAACGCAGAGACGAGGACGCAGTTGACAATCAGCTGGATCCAGCGGTAGAGGTTCTCTGGGGCATTCGGGTGCTCCTCGAGAGTATGGAACAAGTTGCCGACCCAGGTGCGGTTGTTCCTCTTCTTGCCCTTGCTCCGTTGAGATGACTGCCGGGAATCGTCCTCCGAATCATCCTCTGAGTCCCAGTCCTGCGAACCGTGGAAGCGTACGCTTCCGCCAACATCGCGGTCCATGTTATGACGCTTCCGCTTCCTTATGGCGGGATAGTCTCTTCCTCCTCTTGGAATCTCGCCTTTGCCTGGCGCATGGCGCTTCAAAGATTGCAAGCCAGTTTTGGCGTAGCGGAAGCTCTTGTCAACCTTGGAGGGCGTCATTGCGCCCATGTTCATATCTCCGAATCGATCGATTTCGGGGGTGTCATCCGGGAACTCGGAATTTTCGGTCAGGGCGGGGCTGCTCTCTGCGCCGGAAGCTTCTGAGAAGACCGATTCATCGAAGGGCTTGCGCGGTGTCGTAAAAGCAGGATTCCGGAACGGCGGCGCGGTGTTGCTGCTCTGAATTCTCGGGGAGAACAGTGAAGTCTGGGGTGGCAGGGAGGGTAGTGGCTTGGACGGGCTGTTCGCGAAAGGGTTCGGCTTGGAGGGGCTGCTGGCGAACAAGTTCGGTCGAGGGCTGGCAAATTTATTCGGAGAGTTGAAGACTACAACAGAATCGCGGTCAGCGGGAAGAAACTGATTGCATATGAGGCCGGTCTGGGGCAGCGAATATGTGTATCCACATGCGGACGTACTGTTTTTGGTGCTGCTGTTTGCAACGTGGGAAAACGGGCTGGTTGCATCCAAAGGGCCACGATCCTGGTATTCCCATTCCATGGGGCTTTCATATGTCCGACGGTCCATGTTGGAGCTTTCGCATGCACAGCAGAAGTGCGGGGGAAAAAACAAAACAAAGGAAGACGAAGCCAAGATTGAACGAGAGGTGAAGGCGAAAGCAAAGGTGTTGGTGAGAAGTGCAGAGAGTGCAGTGCGACAGCTCGTCACAGATGATCAATCAGGGTAGTGGTGGTGGTAGTGACCAACCATGTAAGGAAATGTTCTGGGCTGCTGTCAATGAACAAACCAGAATCTTAGGTCTGTTGGAAGTAAACAAACCGTGCCTGAGGCAACGGAACCTCCCGGTGGCCTGGTCCCGTCGAACTCTAGTGGCGCGGTACGTACCGCCATCTTAGCTGATGTGGCTGAACAGATGAGGCTGAGGGTCGCTGCGAGAGATGCCTACCTGAGGTATCTCCCTTCTATCTAAGCTTGGACCAACTGAAAATCAAAGGGCTAAACGACGCTTCTTCCGCCTCTCCAACCTCATCCATCAACTATTCCCATTTCCTACGATCACCTTTCTGGCGTGGCAACTGCTTTGAAGGGCTGCACCTGCTGCTTACGTCTCCGCGATTGAAAGCTCACTCTCCGGGCCATTTCAAACCCCCGTTCAGCATCACACATCCGTCGTCGCCAACATGTCGGACCTTGAATCTCTCCCCGAGTCGCCAACGCGCGACGACCACGCCGACAACGAAGAGCCTCGTGAGGGTGCGGGTGGCGCGACCGCCGAAGATCTTTCCGACCAGGAATCGGATAACCTTTCGGAAATCGACGAAGACCAGTTTGAGGACTACGACCCTGCCACGGCCAACATTGAAGATCGCCCTATAACTGTCGATGAAGACGTCGCTAAGACGCTCAAGGCTGGAAAGCGAAAGGTAGCCGATGGAGACAAGCCAAGGAAACCAAAGGAGGGGCGAAGAGACAAGAAACGGTCACGCGATGATGACGCGGCTGGCGATGCGGACGGCGAAGCTGGCAGACCGGCTCGGAAGTCGAGACGCGCTGTTGCGGACGGCGAGAGGAAGCCGCGATCCAAGGCTGCCTCACCGGAGATTGATGATGAATCCCACCTGTCCCCAGAGGAGCGCAGACGCCGGGCAATCGATCGAGCTCTGGACGCCGCGATGAAGGGACCTACTAAGCGCAAGAAGAAGAAGGACGAGATCGTGGGTCGCCCGCTTTCCCAGGCCAGAGAGGACAAGTCTTGACTAACAACATCATGATGTAGGATCTGGAAGATGAAATGGACGAGCAGATAGCTGATCTGAAGGTCGCGATGGAGAGAGCATGCGAGGCCGACAATTCGGCGCGCGAGGCGGGCCAACCTGCTGTTCACAAGTTGAAGCTCCTACCCCAGGTGAAGGACTTCCTCAACCGCAACAATGTTCAGCATGCCATTCTCGACCCTGACACGAACTTTCTGCAACACGTCAAGTTCTTCCTGGAGCCCCTCAACGACGGTTCTCTTCCAGCATACAACATTCAGAGAGAGATCTTCCAGGCCCTCATCCGTCTGCCCATCGAAAAGGAGGTGCTGCTCAGCAGCGGCATCGGAAAAGTTGTCTATTTCTACACCCGCTCGAAGAAGCCTGAGCCTGGCATCAAACGTATGGCCGAGCGGCTGTTGGGTGATTGGAGTCGACCGATTCTGAAGCGAACGGACGATTACAAGAAGCGCCACATCGAGACGCGCGAGTTCGACTACGAGTACGTCTCCCTAGTTCAGTGTCACACGACAGCGTTGCTAATCTTTCGAACAGGGCACTCAAGATGTCTCAGCGCCAGGCAGGCAGCTCGCAGTTCAACCTTCCCCAGCGGCCCTCGCAGTCAGCCAGGGAAGCAGAACGTGAGGCCATGCTCGCGCCGGTCGTTACCTCTAACCGCGCTCGTCCTGGTGGCCTCCCTTCGAGCTACACAATCGCACCAAAGAGCACGTACGACGTGTCTCGTGCGCCGGATCACCGCCCTATTGGAGCAGGCGGCTTGGAGGCATTCCGCAAGATGACAGCGAAGGGCAAGAAGCGATGAGGAAGCCGTATGCTATGATGGCGGGGTGTAGCAACGAAGCTTGCCGGTTTGTGGTGGCTGATTCGCTGGCTATTTACCAGCGAAGAAGTCGCCTATGGAAAGGCGTGGCAAGATGGAGACGAGCACAGAGCTGGTCAGAGGCTCGTTCTGATCCACATGATGAGGGAGAGGCTGAGACAGAACGGGCGACTTGAACTTTTTCTAGGCGGGCACAAAAGGCGTTCCGGTTTGTCATGGAAGGAGGAGTAGAAGGGATTGACATGGACTCCTAGACAGAATGTGACATTTGCACAAAAAAGGGGGACTCAAGATGTTGCTGCATGGCCTGGTGACGACATGTTGATAGATGAGGTTATGTTCGCAGCTTGAGGTCACACATAGTAGACATGAGCCAATCATGATGCGTCTCATTCCCAAGTCCAGCACGGCCTAGTTCAACACCGACATCCTCCCTGTCTTCCATGCAACTAATTCTCTCCCTCTCTCTGTAAGCTGATGACAGTGCTGGACTTTCTCGACCTAGAAAACTAAGAAAAGTTCTATCTACTCCTCCATATCAGGGATCTGACATGCCCTGTACACGTGGTTTCCTTCAGAGGCGGGGGGCTTTGGTTGCCGCTTCTTCTGCTTTGTGGCCTCCTCACACCCCCCTCCATTACTATCATACGTAGTAGCTGTTTGATGATGATGATGATGATGATAATGATGCCGTATTGTCGTTGTGTTTGTGTGTTTGGAACGTCCCGTCCGTCTTTGGCCCTGGCACGAAGAGCAAAACTCCTGGCACCATGCCGCTTTGTCTTTGTTGCCATCAAGATGTGTGCAGAAATAGGTCAATGCCAATGGTGCGTGGTTCAGTGTGACAGACAGAGATGATCGGGCGCAGGCAGAGAAATTGTGCAAAGGGGATCTGGTTTAAGGAGGGGGGCCTGAACCGTTCATTTCCATGAATTAGGGTCGACATCTTGGTGTATGGTGGCCCCCGATGCTTCGAATGCGGTCTCTCATTATGTTTGCCCCCTCTACCCTACCGTTTCCGCACCTCTGTCGCCCACCCATCAATGCCATCTCCCCGGCTGCCCACCTCTAGTCCGTTGATTCGGACGCCTTTCATGCCGGGAGTGTCGTCGAGCCACAAATGTCCTGCCATGCCACCAGCGTTGGCACGTTTCTCTGGGACAAGCTCAAGCATCGGAGTCAGGAAATCAGCAATGCGCTTTGCCTCGTCCTCCTTGAAGTGATATTTCTCGCGCAGGACATCTGGCAAGGCCCAGTGTCGCAAGCGATGAATGTTACGCAACTCGCCTTTGCGGTTGAAGATCTCTTGTGACCACTTGCCAGACAAACAGAGCGACTTGGGGAAAGGCCCCAGCAGCTCAATGATCTGCGCAATGTGATCGTCGTCCTTGCCGTACTTGGTTCCCGATTGGGGGTCGAACAGGTAGTCACCAGTGATCAACTCAAAAACCTAGAGGTGGGGAATCATTAGTTCTCAATGTCTTTGGAAGTAGCTGTTGGTCGTCGGAGGGCAAACGTACCATCGCCGCCATACTCCACACATCAGTACTTGCGCCCCATTTCGCCCCAAGTATAACTTCCGGCGACCTGTACTGCCTGGTCTGGATATCGTTGGTAAAGTGGTGGTTGGTCCAGCAGGCGTTACCCAAGTCCGCAATCTTGACGCTGATGATGTCGAAAGCGTGGGCATCTTCGGCCTTGCGCTTCTCGCCGGAAGATGGTGAGCTGCTCGTCTTATCGAGGGAGATACCCGAAACTTCTTTTGTGAGGAGGTCGCTGCACAGAGAAAAGGCGGTCAGTCTCAGGTATAGTCATCCACTATTTTGTGAGGTGGGGTATACATACGCCGTCTTTTCGCGCGTCTTCTGGTCAGCGTCGCGCTTGGGAGAAGAGTCATTGGATCCTTTGCCTGAGCATAGGCTGTTAGCGCTTTTCCTACTTGTGCGACCAGAACCATGCGCCACAAGGTCGTTACATGCAGCGGGACCTTTGTGGGTGGCGCAACTCGCGGGGACACAGGTGGCGGGTGCTGGGGAGACGTCGCATACCTTCGTGCAACATTTGACCGAGGCTCGTGTGAGAGTTCGTGGAGGGGAAGAGATTGTTGTGGTTGAAGCTGGCATTGAGGGGGGAGGGCAACGGCTGACTGCCCGTGATGAGAGTCCGTCTCCTCCTGCGGCCGTTTCTGTTGTTTTCCTTGTCGCTAGGCTCGCTCTTGACGACCTTTTTGACGATTTGTTCGACGTCGCCAATCTCGATGAGGACATTCTCGGGCTTCAAGTCGGTGTGAATGATGCCGCATTCGCGGTGGAGATAGTCGAGGCCCAGCAAAACCTGCTTTGTGATCTGCTTGACCAGGGGCATGGGGATGCCGCGGTGGTTCCATTTCTTAATTAGGCCCAACAGGTTCTCGCCCAATACCTCAAAAACCATGCAGACGTGTGTGCCGTTGGGGCCCTTGTGTTCGAAAGAGTCCAGGAGGCTGACTACATGTTTGCGGCCAGGGTGGTCGGGCTTGGCCTGGACAATCTTGTTGAGGAGTTTGATTTCGTCAATAGCGGTTTCGGTGTAGTGGGCAGCAGAGCGGACGACTTTCAGAGCGACGTGCTTTCCAGAGGTGTTGTCTCTGGACAGCCAGACGGTGGAAAAGTGACCCCATCCAAGCTTTCGCACGACTGTGTATTTGCCGTCCTTGAACTTTTCGCCAATCTGGACGGGGTGGTAGCCGCCCTTGCAGTAGTCCTCGGAATCTTCCTCGTCGGCCGTGTTCTCGGCGGGGTCGTCGCCAGACGAAGTCGAAGTAGGCGAGTTCTGCATGGCAGCAGACAATTGGTGGGTTCTGCGACAGAGAAGAAAAAGGTCAGCTTTCCTGTGGAGGCCATCGAGACATGTGCGGGCAGAGACAGCGCGGCGCGGGAAAAAGGCGTCATCAGAATTGTGATCAAAATGGCGGGGGTGGAGAATAGCAGTGGCAGTGGTAGCAGCAGCAGCAGCAGCAACAGGAGCAGCAATAACGGGTGGGTGGCTTGGTGGGTGAAGATTTCGCGGCGCCAGTCCAAAGCAACGAAGATGGACTCGGGCACCACGAAATGCGATGACTTTGGAAGGGGGTTTGGGAGGCTAGAAACCTTGTCTTGAGGAAGCTCATATTTGCAACATTGCGCATCCAGCGCGAACAATCCTATAGTCAAGAAAAGAGAAGACAGAACGGGCGGAGGTCCGGGCAACGGGCGGGAATCAAAACAAGAATGAAGGGGAAAATATCAAAAAAGAGTGCGGATCCAGTGCGAAACTGGCGCCGCTCACAACATGGGAAAGTAGTGACAGCGGCAAGTCCAGTCAGGTCGTGACCGACTGGGGTGGGTAAAGGTTGAATGGGAGGGGAGGGGAAGCGAAGGAGGGGGGGGGGGGGAGTGATTTTGGGCGAGGGACGTGGAGGTAGAGGACGGGAGAGGAAGAGGCGAGCGAGGCGAGGCGAGGCGCGGGAACAATCAGCCAGGCGGTAGGCGTGCACTAGTTAAGGTAGGTAAGGTAGGTAAGGAAGGGCAGGTTAAAAAAACTGCCTCCGACGTGGAGGTGGAAGAGGAGGAAGGGCGGAAGGTTGAGGCAGGTAGGTATGGTAGGTAACGGTAAGGATAGGTAGCAGAAAGAGGCACGTAATATGGAAGGAAGTAATAAAAGCAGGCGGGAAAGGGTAAGTAGGTATGGAAGGTCGCAGCAAGCAGAGCAGAACGGGCAGCAAAGCAGGGCAGGTAGCGCGAGAGGGGTCAGTGATGCGCGCAACGGGGGGGGGGGGGGGGGGGGGAGAGAGAGCGACTGCTCAGTGGTCTGGCAACGCAAAAGTCTGGGCCACCTTGGCCAGGGTCGTCGGGTCGGATCAGGACCAGTGGGGAGGGTGACGGTGAGCGCTCACTCTCGCGCGCCAGCCAGCCCAGCCCAGTCAGCCCAGCCAGTCTGTCAGTCCCGCTCTGTTCTGTGCTGTTCTGTTCACTGTCCAGTCCAGCCAGCTCAGTCCAGTCGCGATATGTCTGAAAACTATCCAGCCCCTCTGTTGTATCTCTGTCCGTCCCCAGATGCCGTGAGTGCAGATTGTCAGTGTGCAGCAAACCAGCTGTGAGTGATGAGCGCAGCAGTCCAGTCCAGTCCAGTCCAGTCCAGTTCAGTTCAGTTCAGTTCAGTTCAGTTCAGTCCGGTCCAGTCAGGTCAGGTCAGGCCTGGTCAGTCCCCGGTATGCAGTCGGGTCGAGTTCGTGCAAAAGACGGGCACATACGACAGGCAAGCTTCAGTCAGGGCACCCCGTCAGGTCAGCACAAACCTAGCACTTTTTTTTCCCTCCTCCTCCTCCTCCTCCTCCTCCTCTTCTCCCGTCCATCATCCCGGCCCCTCGCGTTGCCGGCCTCTCATCATGGGTATCTGTCGCACCGGCGGAGCAGCGCAGCGCAGCGCGGCGCAGACCACATCAATAAGACAGGTAGATGCACCTCACCGCGCTGCTGCTGCGCATCATCAGCCCTGGCAGAGTGTCGCGGTGGCGGCAACAGCTGGCGACCCGTAATACCGCTGGGTGAGCGGCCGTCTCCCACCCTGTGCGGTCCCTCTCTTGCCTCTGCCCGACCTGATGTTTTGCGCGCCAAACAACGCTTCAATCTCCTCCAATGGCCGGCCCTGTGTGCAACCGCAGCGCATGCGCCCGATCCAGTGACAGATCCCCGCCGGGTATCTGTTCCGCTGGGGCCTTGCTGTCTGTTCCTCACTCTTCTTCTTCTGTTCTGCTTGTTCGCTGCCGTAGCGTCTTCCAGCGCCATCTTGTTTCCTGCTTGACGCATGCTTCCCAGATGTCCGGAAGTGAGACAGTCTGCGCGGCGCGGTCCTGGGCAGAAAGCACTGATGACTACTGATGCCGCTGCTCCTTGTGCCGATTGGGACTGGACTGAACTGAATTGACTGCACTCGACTGCACTCGACGGCTCAAACTGGTCTGGTCTGGCTGGAGGGGCCCCCATCCATCCATCCAACTGGCCCCCCGTACTCCGCCCCGCAGCGACGCGCAGGGAAGGACGTGCGGCATCGGGCACAGTTTTAGACAGGATAGAGGGGTAACAACTTGGCAGGCGGAGTGTGGTAAGGTAAGGAAAGGCAGGGTAATGTCCTGTATAAATGAAGCTCGGGACGCCAACTGGCGTCCGTATTGAGATGATGACAACCAACAATCTCGACGGTACCCACCCGTCAAATAATGGAAATCAAACAACACGGAACCTTCTTGGTCGCTGCAAATAAAAGAAATCGAAAAAAAAAAAAAAAAAAGGTACAAGGAGACCATAAACACACTTACTGAGGAGTTTCGGTGGTGATGATGGGCTTCAAGCCCTCCTTCTTGCGCTTCTTGGCGACCGTCGAGTTGCCATTGGCATTCGCGCTGGCATTGGCGTTGACGTTGGCAGCCGCGGGCTGCAGAGGCTGTTGCGCAAGCGGCTCCGAAGCTTGTTGGGTGCCGTTCATGATGGGCAGTGGAATCGGCGATGCGGTATGTAAAGTATCGTCCAGAAGGGTGAGTGTGGGGGACAGACAGAATGGGGGTCACGGCCGACCGTTCCAGATGGGCGAGGCGAGGTCAGGAGAGCGCACCGCCGGTGGCCTTGGATTGGCGATGTTCCGTCTGTGGTGACCAGCCCAAGCTCGATACCCGATTGTAGCGCAGCGAGGACGGGCGGCTGTGCGTGCGTGCGTGCGTACGAGCGTGTGTCAATTGTCGGCCTCGTCCAAGGCAATTGGTGTTGCAGCCCGTAGGGGCTTGTCTGGTTCGGAGTGGTATCGCGGGATTTTCAAAGTCGTACAGGTGGTCGCGCGTTCGGGCAGCTGGCGCAGAGCAAGAGATCTGTTGAAAGCAGGGGCGGCAGAGGTCAATCGAGGACGTGAGATGGCAGGCGAAGCGGCAGTCGGAAGTGCGTGAAGAAAAAGATGGCGTGGTGGAGCTCTTGTCAGAGGAGATGTGAAGGCGGATGCGGGAGGAGAGAGCGATAGAAGTCAATGGCGAATGAAGCTGGCGATGGAAGCGTGGCGACCGGATCCACGGAGATGCGAAAGAAGTGTATCACCAGGTTGGCGCGGCCAGTCAGCAGCAGGTAAGTCGGCGGGTGGGATTCATCAGATGTGCTCCGATATGATGCGAGACGACGCGCGATGCGGCGGGGACCAAGATGACGACGGCGACGAAGGCTGTGGCGACGACAGCACTGAGCAACGAGCGGACAGGTTGCCTGTGTGGTGGTCTCTGGGCGCGCGGTGTTGGAGGTGTTGGAGATGTTTACTTGCGACCAAGTGGCCAAGGCCGATGGAAGTTGCGTCAAGTAAGGTAAGGTAAGGTAGGGTCAGGTAGGAAGAGGCAGGTGTCAAGGCAAGGTCAGGTACCTAGGCAAGGTACCTTGAGGTGTGATGGATGGGTTTGGCAAGGTCAGGTACCTCAGCAACAAGCAAAGCAAGAGAAAACGGAAGACAAACGTGCCTGAGTGGCTGGCTGCTGGAAAAAGCGCAGAGCGAAGCAAGCAACAAGTTCGGATGTTTTTTTTTTTTTTTTCGTCTTCTTCTCTCCTTGGGTGGGAAGGAGGGGTGGTTGGTCTGGACACACAACAGGAGTGTGAAGTTGCGCCGTACGTATGCGTACCCATTGAGCGATGATACCAAGCAGTGCCTGTCTCGTTCTCGTCTTAGTTGCCGTGCCTGGGCCAGGAGGACGTCATTGATGGAAGCAGGTTCGAGGTTGGGTACATAGTAGGTACCCGTACCTTAGTGTGTCAGTCAATAGTGGGGGTGGAGGACGGGGGTGCAAGACGGAAGAAGCCAGTAGAGATGCGTCAACTGCAGACCAAGCACCAGCACGACTCAATCGGTGGCGTCTTTTTTTGGTGGATGGATGGATGGATGGCATGGATGTGGAGGAACGGGGGTCGAGGAAGCAGGTGTTCGAACGTAAGTGATGGAGCAAAGCAAAACGCACGCATCGTGGACGTGGAATTCTGACGGGTGAAGCTATCCACCGTCATCGCATCCAGCATTTGCTTGAGACGAGAGCACCCATGGACGTTGATTAGCATGGTGCTGAGTGCTGATTGATACACAAGAGGACAGACAGGACAGGCAACTCAAATGTTGAATCTAGCGCGTGCCGACGTCCAAAGAATGTTTGACACCGGGTTCACTCAGCGTCGGGTCTTTGGTGCGCATCCGGGACTTGCGAGCCACGATTCAGCCAAGTGCCTCCAAGTCGGCGGGACGAGACTGCGATTAGATAACACGGGCGAAGTGGATAGGTCGAGGTGGACCAAGCCGCAGCGCTAACTGCATCCAGCGGTATCCTGTTTGAAAGGTGCTCAATGATACGTGCGAATACCCTCCACTGTGCAAATGGTGCACTAATCCTCTGTCAACCTCCACTGACCAAGAAAATACCCAGCACGATTGATGGCGGCATGTCCTATCAGAGCTTCACCGACGCACGCCATCACATCGCACATCGTCACTAAGGTATTCGTACCTAGCGACCGGGTATTAAGTGGGGAGGAGCAGGGTTTGTCCCCTGAAGCACAAGGCAACGGCCGCTGAGCGGCTGCTGTTGCTGAGGTGAAGACGACGGGAGCCCTGTCCGACCGTCGAGACCCTTGATTGCCGGTGACCTCACGGAGACAGCCTGACGCAACCGGGCAGGGCCTCAGCTGCGTCCCGGCAACTCTCATGTTTCTCACTTCACTCAATTCGCCCATCCTTAACCTCAGCTGCTTGCTGCCCCTGGATTTTCTTTTACCAGCTCTGTCGTTTGCGGAACTCACAAACGCTATCGATGTACACTACACATGTACCATACTTCGAGTAGACTCTCAGGGACGGCTAAGGATATAGCTCTGTCGGTCTCATCTTATTGGACGGAGCTGAACAAGTTGCAACAGGCTTTCCCTTGTTCCGCCACCCATCCATCGCGACTCGACAACTTCTGCAACAGACATTTTCCCTGGATCTAGCCACCTACTTACCCACGCCCTTGGGTCCGAAGACTTTTGATCAACTTTTTTTTTTTTTTTCCTCCCGCGTCCTCGTTCGTTCGCCAATGCTGTTCTTCCCGCCACCTTGACGTACACCGCCTTGCCCGCAGCACTCAAGGTGAGACCCCCGACACCTGAGAGCATCCGTCAACAGACCTCCGGCTTTCTTTGACCTTTCATCTGATAAGCAAGAGCCCTATTGGTCCGCCCCGCCAGTCACAGGGCTAGTCGAGGTGATGGCTCAGGTACATGACCTGATTGGGTCTTCTTGTTTCTCCTTGGCGCTCCTCGCGGGACGCAATCCCAGGCCACGGCGTCAGACACACAGAGACAGACCGGACCATTCCATGTGAGCAGGTCCCGCCTGTCACCTGCCAACTATCATCATCGAGCTTCGCGCCCAAATAATTGTTCAGTGTGGATGCAGTCTGTTTCAGTACTCGTGATTTCCCAGATTTAAATGCACTTGACAACGTCCCTATTTTGGGAACCCCCCCCCCCATTGCCGGCGACGTGGCCGCGTACTGCCCTCGCAAGGGAAGCTGCAGGGCTGTCGCATGCGGCGTCGGAGAGGGAAGCCTGCGGTGTCGTTACCACGGTCTTGGCAGTCTGGCCAACGACCAGCTTCTTCCGTGATCAGAAGAATGACATCCGATGCGGGTCAACCGATTTCCGCTGCGAACCCCGTGTTCCGTGTGTCGGGGTGAGCCTGCTTCGGCACAGGAGCCGGCTTTCAATGTCTCATCTTCTGCCGGACCTCAAGTTCTTATCCAAAGAGCCTCTTTCATTCCGATGCATTGAGGCAGATTGTCAGCAACCACGCCCATCGGAAAAGACAAAGCCAGTTACCCTTTGAACGTGAACAATGACCGCATCGAGGATCGCCTACAATTCCTTGTTCCTCCAAGCCACCTCCTTCCTTCAAGTTTTCTCACTGTCGAGTACTTCGCTCGTTGACAAGCATCATTCTACCTCTTGTAGGCTTCCGCTTTGTGATGAGCCTCATCTTCGGAATCAAGAAACCTCCTTTGTCATGCGTTGACAATAAGAGCTATCAAAGACATTATGCTTTTGCGACCTCAATCGCGGTTTATGAGTGAAATGCTCTATATATACGGGAGACGAGGGGGGAATCATGGATACTTGAGCAGCAGCTCTTCACAACGCGTACTCACTTCTCTAGTTGTAAGATTATCATTACCATTCTCTTCCTCTCAGGCTAGCTTTGTCGATATCGCAGAAATCGCCGACTGTAACCTACCTGTAATATGCCGCATTTCTCTTCCACAAACCTTGAGCTGGCCTTCAGTTTGCCGAGTCACGTCAAAGATGAGTACGCCATGAGGCTCACAAATTCGGCACTTCAAGAGAAGCACCTCGATCCAAGATGGCGGTACGATGGGCATATTATCGGCAACCAGGATTACCTCGAGGTTGCCTTCGCCACAAAGCCACATAGGCGGACGACTTGGCCCAGCGACTACTGGTTCAAGCCCATTCACCCACTCCAAGACCCTCTCACTATCTCCTCAGCAATGCATACTGACTTGGCTCGCCTAGCCGAAAGACACAACATCGTTGCCAACGAGATCCATAGCTTCATGCGCTTCCCCCTCGTCAGAGCAGTCGTACGCACTTTTCTCATCGAGCTTGAAAGACCCGAAGCTCAATACGGCCCGCAGCCAGACGACGAAGATATCGTCGGTCGACTCGAGGGGATCTTGTTGAGCACGACGCTGTCGGACCGCCAAGCTCTGTTGACCCAAACCACCGCGGTTGGGCCAGACTTTGCCGACAGGGCGCTGTTGTTGTGTTTGATTAAGTTATACGCTCACTTTGAGTCCTGGAACCGCTGGACGTTTGGGTCTAGCGGGTATATACCCATGCTGCAAATCCTCGTTGCCGTCGTTGGCCTATTCTGCAACGCCTGGGTTCACGCGCCCGTAATCGACATTACCTGGGGCCACCTTGGCAAGTCTCTGTCCCCGCCTTCTCTGTATAGTCATGTTATCGACCACAGCGAGCCTCTGCCTAGCACCATCCTGACCCCTGAGATATGGATGGAGTGGTCCCTCATGTACGACCCCTGGATCAGACAAGCAGACTCAGTACAACTGACGACGCCCGAAGACGCAAGGCTGTCCTCGAAGCTCACTTTAGCGCCCCCGGTTTTTGTCGCGGAGGTCTCCGAGCCAGAAGCCGACAAGGAGGGACGTGTTACGGTGAAGTATCTCAGTAAACCTGATGAGGAAAGATGGTCATTTAAAAGCATCCTCGATTCCAGGTGGGCGGGCAAGAAACCGAAGACGGGGCTACAATATCTGGTTGAATGGGAATACGCCGAGCCCTCGTGGCAACCGGCAAGAGATTTGCAAGGCTGCGAGCCGTGGGTCTTGCAGTTCCACCGGTCGAGTCCGAAGAAGCCTGGGCCTTTACCTAAGTTGAAGCGATTTCTTTAAGGTCCCTATCGTGTTTTGGTGGGTTCAAAGATTCAATGATTCTTTCCAGGGCTTGGGAGACTTTGACGTAGAGGCTTGGATGGGGGCCAACAAAGAGGGTCAGCAAGGTGCTACTGGTTGGAATATCACGCTACACTAGGGAGATGTATAGAATAAGTCGGATGGCTGTTGCTTGTAGGCAAGTTCAGGCGAGTTGTTGCCCATCCTTTAACTCTTATAGTCAAATTCTAAAGAAAGAAATACAGGCCTCTCTAAAAATCATTATGGTTGAGTGCGGAAGGCTTTACTTTTGGTCTCACCGCCTCAGTGATGAATGTGGTCTCGTGTCAACGATATCACATATCCAGTAGAAACCAGAAGGAAAGACAAGATCGGGTTTGTTAGTGCAAATGTAGCCGAAAAAATGTACAGGATACTTGTGGCAGGACTCATAAGCCCTTGCTCAAGGATGCGCTTCCGTAAGTCCTGAGTTGTTCTGGTCGCGATGATGTATTGGTTTGCTATTTGTCCTCATCTTGGCCCCGCCGGTATCCTGCTATCTTGTTGTGTTAGAATGTTGTTAGATAGGCTACTCCGAGGTGTGTCAAGTAGTCGTCAGAATCAAAACTTCACCAATACTGATAGCACTAGGCATGTAAGCAACTGTATGAGTTGGATCAGCCGCCTATGTTTGGCCAACCGTTATCGAGTTCATCCTCTTCGGAATGCCCGGCCCAGTTATTAAGGTCTATCTAGTACTCCGAGGCTACAACCTAAGTCAAAGTAGGCTGGCTGAAAATGTTGGGGCCGGCCCGTGTGCATCCACATTGCATCGGAATATACGGGCCTCTCCGGCAGGGCTCGGCATCGGAGCCGGAGCTAATGCAACTTGACATTCCAGGCGCTGACAGCGGGAAGATTCGTTTCTAGCCTCTTCGTAATAGTCGCCGGCTCACTCCGTTTCCGCCACACGGGGATTTGTCAATGCGTCCATTCCAGTCAGCCCTGCGGCGAGCACGTACGAGGTCATTCTCACGCTAAGGCGGAGCTTCTGAACGGCCTACCTGAGCTGACGGCAGAGCCAGACACGATGGCACGGCTCGTCAAATGACGTGGCAGGGCCTTGTGACTTTGGCTCGAGGACCGATTACTGGATGGTGGTTCCTTGGGTTTGTGCCAATCAACGGCTGGGTGCATCCAGTCGAACATGTGATGGCGATGCTACAGAGCGCAAAAGGTCAGTTTTAGTGCCATGATGTCATGTCTTATCTCGACAGCCGCTCAACGGCACTGCGACCTTTATAGACGCCGTAGCGAGGACGACTTGAGAACGCCTCTTCCGGCTTACCCCCATGTGTCTCGGGCGGTTGAAGTCCCAGGCCGCGCCGAAAGAGCCGGATGGCTACGTGTACGTGGTTAGGGGGCCAGTACAGGATTACTCAATCGCAACGGTTAGCTGCCGAACTAGCAGCAGCAGCAACAGAAGTAGCAGCTTTGACCTCTACGCAGACGGGAGGCCGGGACGTGCAGCGAGCGAGCGAGGGGGCGCATGGAACAACGCAGAACACATGGAGGCGCCATCTGCCCGTGGACAAATGACAAGTCAACCAGCCATCTCCACATTCCAATCCACGCGCGATATCCGAACGTTGCGGAAATAAGGTAGGATGGGGAAAACCTGAACGTTTGGGAGGGTATCGACGGGATGTTGCAATAATGCCGTGTAGATGTATTAGTGGGGGAGCGCCTTGAAAGCCTCGGCCAAACGGGAGCTGGACCAAGCTACCTAGGCTAAAAGGTGGAAAAGCTTGTACCGACGGAAGTCCCCTCCACTCCCTGTGGAGGACGTCCCTAGGAGGTATCGACCTAGCCACTTGCCAAGATAGGAAATAGTGCACCATGCCGATTGGCAGAGCAAAACAGAGCGAGAGCTAGACATTACCACGAAAAGCTCAAAGTCGCAAAAACGAGGGAGGCAGATCGTGAGATAATTACAAAGCCATGCCAACACGTCTCGCTTCGTCACGCGAAATTAAAGTTAATGTACCATCTTCCAGCTGCGGATCTTCATGCCCATCTGCCTCGCGTGCTGAGCCATAAGGGCTTCAGCAATAGTTAGAGCGGTCATGGCCTCGACGATAGAAACGGCGCGAGGAGCAACATTGGGATCCTGACGGCCCCTGGCAGCAAGAATAGACATAATAGCGTGGGCAAAGACAGCCTCAAGCCTATCAAAGCACGGCTCGCCGAGACCTGAGGGGCACCCGCGAATGATGTAGGTTAAGGTACCACCAGTAGAGTCATGCTGATCGCGGAGCTCATCAGGGCAGCGCACGGGAAGGAACTCATCTACCTTCTCGCGGGTTAGGGAGTCAACAAACTCGAGAAGCATAGGGTTGCCACTCAGGGAGTCGATATCGTCGTCGCTATTGGTTGAAGGCCTGTCCTCAAAGAGCTTGATGTTGCCAACCGAGAAAACAAAAGCAACGATCTCGATGCCGTAGACGTAGGAGAGGCACGGGTAGAGGTCGATGGTCTTCGAGCCGTAATTAGTCGTGAGGGCCCAATCCCCCCATACTAGGGGATTAACATCATGGCAAACATCATGACTTCCTGGGTTCTTAGCAGTTTAGTGGAGGAAAAGGACTCACACGTAGCGATGTCGTAGAGATATTTCTTATCGGTGACTAACTTCGCAATCGAAGGCAGTACGTACCCCGTCTGCCAGGGAGAATGCGGAAAATATTCCAAAGCTTGGGGGAACTCCCAGGAAAATCCCAAAATGCTCTTAGATATAGGCTAGGAATCGGGCACCTGGATGAGGACTCCGAGCTAGGGCGGCGATGCTTAATTAACCGCCCATTGATCGCGGTCGCTATGTGTTCGTGGCACACTACCGAGGTAAGGTCCATACCATACATAAGTGTAGCAGGGTAGGTAGGTAAGATAGGTGAGTTCCAGTTTCAATCGGTCCCATGAGGGGTTCCCACTAAAATAACGCCGCATCCCCCCCGCGGCCAAAAATGCACCCTCCTCGATGACCTCCAGCTCCCCTCAACTCCGAAGCGAACTGACGGCGCAAGGCGAACCCTGCGGCAACACCAACTCCATCAACCGTCGCGCACTGTCCCCATCCGTCCTCCGCATCTCGCGAACCACGCCATCTTACTCTTGGACCCCCAATTCATGAGTTGCATCGTCCCAAGCCACTTCCGTCCGCCCTCCTCCGCGCGCCCGACGACACACTCATAAAGACCGAGCATGTGCCCCGCGCCCGATCATGGAACCTCAGCCATAGAGGATCCCCGACCCGACGACCACCACAACAACAACCTCTCCGCGACTGCCACAGAGCCAGCTATTCCCCCGGGCGCAGACGTCCGGACCAGAGCCCGGACCATGACGAGCACCGAAGAGATTGACAACACCATCATTCGCCCGGGCTCCGTCCGCATCAACGTCAAGGGCGCTTTTATCGTCGACCCGGACTCAAGTTCTCCGAGAAGCAATGGCCGAGGTTCTCCGACCCATCACGAGACGAGCGATATTCGCCTGCCGAACCACCATGCCGTCGTCAGCCATATCGCCGTAGATGTATGCGCCCTGTCGCTCCCGATACCTGCTTTGAGTCTCTCTTTCCACTTGCTGACCTTAATCGTCCCCCAGATTGGCGGTTCCCTAATCAAGCTTGTCTACTTCACCCGCGAGGCCGGCTCCAAGGAGCCCGGTGGCCGCCTCAACTTCCTCAACTTCGAAACGGATCGCATAGACGACTGCATCGAGTTCATGCGCCACCTGAAGGACAAGCAGCAAACACTCAATGGCTCCCAACCAAACGCCCTGAGCGTCATGGCAACGGGTGGCGGCGCATTCAAGTTCTACGATAAGATGCGCGACGTCCTGGGCGTGGATGTCTTGCGCGAAGAGGAGATGGAGTGCCTCATTATCGGTAAGCATACACCTCCAATTGGATTCCCCGGCGAATAACCAAGCTGACTAGCGGCATGCGCCACGTAGGTCTCGACTTCTTCATTACCGAAATCCCCAGGGAGGTCTTTACCTACAGCGAAACCGACCCCATGCACTTCGTCTCGCCCTCGGAAAACATATACCCTTATCTCCTTGTTAACATTGGATCTGGCGTCTCGATGCTCAAGGTCTCAGGCCCCAACAAGTACCAACGTGTCGGCGGAACATCACTTGGCGGCGGAACGCTTTGGGGTCTTCTGTCCCTTCTCACAGGTGCCCGTACTTTTGACGAGATGCTGGACGCGTCGGAACAGGGGGACAACGCCAAGGTGGACATGCTTGTTGGCGACATCTACGGTGGTGACTACGGAAAGATTGGCCTCAAAAGCACGACTATCGCGTCCTCTTTTGGCAAGGTCTTCCGCATGAAGCGTACCGCCGAGAACGAGGCCGAGGACCACGGCGGCCTTCATAACGGCGACAACAAGAACCGCGGTTCCTCATCCGCACAACCTGAAGAGGGTTCCACAGAAGAGAGCCATCATGCTGCTGGAGAGAATGCTCCGGACCAGCCCTTCTCCAGTGCGGATGTTTCAAGATCACTATTGTATGCCATTTCCAACAACATTGGCCAAATCGCCTTCCTCCAGTCACAAATCCATGACCTCGACCACATTTACTTTGGCGGTTCTTTCATCCGCGGTCACCGTCAAACAATCAATACTCTGAGTTACGCCATCAAGTTCTGGTCTCAAGGCAAGAAGCAAGCGTATTTCCTTCGTCACGAAGGCTATCTTGGCTCCGTCGGTGCATTCCTCAAGCGCCAACCCCGGAACTGGGGCCGTCGTGGATCGTTTGAAGAAGCGCAACACCTCGAGCGGCGTCTTCGTGGTCGGGTAGCGCTGCATAACCCAGAGATGCAAAGCTTGGTGGACGACTATGCCTCGGAATCAGGGAGAGACTGAAATAGCAATACCCGGGTAGGAGAAAGAAAGAAAAACAGAAACGGACAACCAGTAGAGGCGGTCATTTGGTGCATAGGGCGTTGTGGCGGCATATTCTGGCATTTACAGTCCTCAGCGAGGGGCCATTTGCGAAAAGATGTGAGCGACATTGGGCACGAGACGTTTAGGTATTGGATTACACCCATGCCATCCCTTACTTTACACACGTATTCACCAGTTTAATGTTATCGTACGCGGCATGGACTGCTGAAGCGGCCAATATCTCGCGCATAGTTTATACATTTACCATTGCAACCGTTGCCAGCAAAGGCCTACTGTGATTCAACCGTATCTTCCAGTCGTTCCAAGTCAACTGCAGCCGTCTGCAGGGCCTTCACTGAAAGATTGGTCACGCCTCTGTTCTCTTTTATAGATGTCCCCCTCAGCATAATAGGGTAGGTATAAAGTGATTCCACTTCTTCTGCTTGTTCTGGCGCTGGAGTCTTCTCTGAAGCGACTGGTGACAAAGGTCGACCTAGGTGTCCAAAATGACCGGCTTTCCTTCATTTATCTTATCGGGCCGCATCTCTTGGTAAACAAAGCACTGAAGCTGGCTACACCTCTGTCGGTAGACTTCAAATGCACAAACCGAATCTCCGCCGAGACAATATCGCAATTGATTTTGTCGGGGTTTTTGATAGGAAAAAGGGCCAGCCACGAGGTTCCGTGCCAAATCAGACGATGCCGATTTGTTTTCGGCGCAGCCGGCTCAGGGGAAAGACTCAATGAACCCAAGAAAGGGTCTTTTCATGGCTGCGGGCTCTTACTAGCACTTTATTGAAAGTAATACGCGCGGCCTTGAATCCTATCTGTTGGATTTCGTGTGTAAATGGCAGAGACTGCTAGTGGCCTCATTGATATCCATATTTCAGACGGCGAAGTACGGACGAGATGGACATCAGCATTTCTAAAGAGATGTATACTATCTTGGAAGCAGAAGCAGAAGCACCGGGACGGCTGTGGCCCATCTCACAAGTCCGCCTATTTCCACTGTGTCTACGCAGCTACGTTTTCTGTCTACTTCACAATGAGTGTGTTATCATGATTAAGGACAATGGCAGGCAGAGGAAAATTAGTCAGTCTCCATCACGTCATCTACCACTGAAGTTGTCATAGATTTGCTAGCCTCAAGGTGACGTGGGGAAGAAGCAGCAATTCTCTGCTTCTTCTCTATCTAGTCCCAGGCTGTTCGTATCCATTGAGCTATGTTGTCTTGAAAGTGGTTATTCAATTTGCTTCTTGGGGAATGTCGCACGCCTGCAAACCGTTGGTAGTGATCGATGCAATACGGAACACAGAGGAAACGATTCTTTTCCCACACTTCCATAGACCACAAACGTCTCGAGGTATTACTCGAATTCAAAGTCGATAAGGCTGGCTGCCATAATCGCTTTCTTCGAGCTCTCCTGAAAGCAGCATGGCATGCGGTAAACTCACCCCTCCCCGGACTCTGTCTGGGGATACGAATATCACGATGCTCAAGGCTGGCAGAGGATGCCGCGGCCGCGTATTCGACGCCAGATCAGCTCCATCACCAACGCGGATCTCAACGAGACAGCTCCAACCCAGATTACATCCGTATTGAACCCGGTAACTCCACGCCATACATCCATTCTGCAGCCTTGTATGAAGATCGCCGACAGGACTCTTGGCGCAAGGGGGGTATCAATGGTTGGACTCGGTATCGGTCCCCTCTTTTCCGAGTAAACCTAGACGCGAACAGCGAGTTCCCTCAAGGCTGAATGTCGGCGTCTCCATGATTCCCGCCAAGGGGACCATCTTTGCATACGTCGTCGTATATCTGTCGTTAAGAGCCCTGTGGTTGCCAAGAATTTCTTGAGTTCAGACGACCCATCATATGAAAAGCTTGAGAAACTATAGCTGTTTATTATATACACCCTCATTGAGCGCCGTCACAAGCGGTCAACTTGCAGTTGCTGCTCATTGCCGCATTCGTGTCGATGGATATTGATCCGTCACAGGTACACCGTCGTCAGGCCGCGGGAAACCCGAGCAAGCCCAAACCTTGATCGGAAATGGGAACCACCACGTAATAGAGTCCGACTTCGTGGAGTTTGTTTGATTGACGCAACTCACCGACTGCCGCAGCGAACGGCATCCTCTACCCGAGACACTGCACAGAGGAGGACAGAGAGACTAAAAGAAAAACTGAACAAGGAGAGAGCAATCACCGAATGAATAAGGCTGCGCTCCTTGTCCCTATCGATATCAATAGTGTTAATGAAGACCGCCCAGAAGGATTCGCACCACAGCCCAGAGGGTGGTCTGTCCGCACCCATGGGCTCACCCCCCTCCATGACGGCCGGTATGAGCGTTTCCCCGTCGCTTTGCCGATCTCCAACGCCGCGTCCCGTTTCGCCGCCGCGCGTTCTCAAATTTCCATTTCTGGCGTCGTATTTCTGAATTTGGGGTTGAATGGATCGGCGGGGCGGGAAAAGGGGAGGTGAGGTGGTATCCAGAAGAAACCCTAATAACAGTCGCTCTCCTTCGAAGATCGGTCAGCCTCAGCCGACGCGGCAAGTGGGATGCATAGAGAAGGCTCATTTCCGGGCATGTCGCAACTACAACATCACATGACTCGAAATATGTGTAAGAAAACGTTGGCTGAATGGCACACAAGCATTCACACACATGTCACTTGGATCCAAAGGCGAGAGAAGATTCAGTAGAGCGCGTTTTTTATTACTATTAACACTTCAACCAGCCAGGGTATAACTCTGAAGTCCAACTCCTCCCGCTGCCTCCTTTTGATCGCTATCAAAAAGAACAAAAAGGAAAGAAAAATACAGGAGAGGGCCAGAGATGCAGAAGACCGTGTTATGTTACACAAGTTCCCCTTCTGATGCGCTCTGTTTTGCGGCCAAGTGTGATAAAATGTGGTTGTGTGTCCAAGCCAGACCACCAACCCATGCAAGTGTTTCGTTCGTAAGGATCGTAAGAATGGTATGTATGATTGCGGATTGTAGATTACAGATTTGCGTGCAGCGACATTGAGACAGTAAGGAAATGGAATCTTTTGGGTTTCGAACTTTCCTCCGCTAAAGAATCACCTTTTGCTGAGAGAAAGAAGCTGTTACCCTGCTTAGAAAGCAGCGAGGACAGCGGCGGCAACAACGGCACCAAGGCCGAAGCTGGCCTTGCCAGCACCGGCAACGACGACGCCGGTGGTGGTAGGGACGACAGCGCCGGTGCCAGCAGGAGTGGTCTTGCTGGCGCCAGCAGCAGGGGTCGTGGGGTAGGGAGCCTCGGCACCAGGGGCCTGGGTAGAGACGGTGGCAGCAGGGTTGCTGGCAGCGGGGGTGGAAGGAGCAGGGACAGGGACGACCTGGGAGGCAGAGTCCGTGGCGAAAGAGACGGCGGGGGCAGTGAGGGTGGTCTTGATGGTGGCAGTGGTGGAAGAGCCAGGGACGGTGGTGCCCTCAGTGACGCAGGGAACGACGATGGTCTTGTCAACGGTGATGGTGGTGTACTCGGCGGGGTTGGTAGCAGCGGGCTTGGTGGCCGAGACAGTGATGGCGGTGGTGATGGTGGCAGGGACAGTGACAATGGCGGGGTTCTCGGGGATGTGGGCGGCGCAGATGCCCTGGAAGAACTCGGTGGCCTTGGAGATGACGTCGTCGCTAGCACCGTGGGAGTAGATGCAGTTGAAAACGTTCTCAACGAAGGCAGAGTCGGGGCAGTAGCAAGAGGCGTCGGAGTTGTCCTTGCAGCCGGAAGAGAACAGCCAGGTGCTCAAGCACTGAGGAACGACATCGGGGCAAGGCAGGGTCTCAACGGGGCCAGCGGGGATGGTGGCAGAAGGCTTGGTGACGGAAGAGGCAACAGGTTTCTCGGAAGAGGCGCCCTTGGAAGGCTGCTCGACGGGCTTGGAGGCACCAGGGGTGTGGACGATGGTCTCAGTGACGGGGCAGACGGTGGTGGTGAGGGGAACCGTGGCGGTGACAACGATGGGAGTGCGAGACTCGGCGGGGCAGTTGGTGACCTCAGGAGCGCAAGAGGTGACGGTCTCGACACGGGTGGTGTAGACAGTGGAGGTGGTGTCGTAGACAGTGGTCTTGGTCTCAGGGACGGCAGGAGTGGTAACAGACTCGACGGGCTTGGAGACACCAGGCTGAGTGGCGGGGACAGTCTCGGCGGGCTGAGTGCCGTTGGCGGGGACGGAGGCAGAAGGCAGCTGAGCGGAGGTGGTCTGCTCAACGGGCTTGGTGACGGACTCCACAGGCTTAGAGACAGACTCAACGGGCTTGGACTCGGAGGGCTGGCTGGCGGAAGGAAGCTGGGCAGAGGTGGTCTCGCCGACGGGCTTGGTGACAGACTCGACGGGCTTGGAGACGGACTCGACGGTCTTGGTGACGGAGGGAACAACAGCAGTGCTCGTCTCGGCCGGGATGGAAACGGAAGGAAGCTGGGCGGAGGTGGTCTCCTTGACGCCAGTGGAGTGAGCGGGCTTGGTGCTCTTCTCAACCTCGGGGACGGAGGTGGTGAGGACGGGCTTGGTGAGAGCAGTGCTCAGAGTGGTAGCGGAAGACAGGACAGCGCTGGTCTTGGTCTTGGGAGGGACGGAGGTCTTGGGAGGGCTGCAGTCGAAGCTGATGGTGTGGATGCCGACGCCGCAAGTAGACTTGGGCTTGGAAGGCTGGGAGGGGTAGACGATGGTGACGTTCTTGGCACCACCGCACTGGGTGTTCTTGACGGTGGTTCCAGACTTGGAGCAGGCAGAGCGGTGCTTGCAGGTAGAGCCGTCAGGCATGTCGTAGTGGAACTCGAGGTCGCAGTCGAACTCGACGCTCACATCGAAGTGGCCGATGGAGAACTTGTCGGGGGAGCCGGAGCTAGAGCCGCAGCCGAAAGAGGGAGAGGTCTCCTTCTTCTGACCGCAAGAGCCCTCAATGACCTTGCCGCCGAAGGTGCGGGGAGCGAGGGTGTCACGCTTGGAGAAG